GCTCCTCCAACGCCGAGCGCAGCCAGCAGCTCCAACAGGAGGCCGACCTCCTAAAGTCTGCCGCCGCCGCCCAGGAGCGCGTTCACACTGTCGCCGCTGCTCTTGACCAAGAGCGCGCGCAGGCTGACGCCCTGGAGCAGCAGGCTGCCGCCCTCCGCAATCGTCTTCGCGTGGAGCTGCTCAAGGACGACGATGTTCGCGACGATGACGCCCACTCTGAAGCCGCGGCCATTGCTCATCTCCACAGCCAGGCGGCTGTTGTCCAGAACATCAAGCACCTGATCCCCGTTGTCCTCGAACTCTAGTCATCATCGAACTACTCCAAGTGGCGTGGCTACTTCCTCCTCACCCTCGGGTGGTTCTCCCTGAGGGGCCATGTCCTCAGCGATGACGCCCGCCCCGACGATCCGGCATGGTCTCGCATGGACTGCGTGGTCGTCTCCTAGATTTTCAACACCATCTCCCCTGACCTTCTGGACATCGTCCACGAGCACGCTGGCACCACTGCCGGGCGGCTTGGCTCGGGGTCGAGATTCAGTTCCTGGGAAATCGTGAATCTCGGGCAGTCCTTCTTGATGCTGAATTTCGCAACCTCTCTCAGGGCGCCCTCTCCATCGACGACTACTGCCGCCAGATGAAGACCAAGGCTGATGCCCTTGCTGATCTTGGCGAGCCCATCAGTGACCGTACGCTCGTCCTGAACGTCCTGCGCGGTCTCAACGAACGGTTTTAGTTCATGGCACAACTGATCACTCGCCAGAAGTCGTTTCCTTCCTTCAACGACGTTCGCGCAGACCTGCGCCTTGCTGAGCTCAACATGGAGCATCCTATGGCTCCTCCCTCGGCGCTTCTCACTACACCAACCAGCAAGCCGCCTGCGCCTCCACTTCCTGCGCCACCGCGCCCCCCTCAGGGATCTCCCTCTACTGGGGGCACCCCTTCTGCCAGCGGACGTGGGCGCCGTCGCCGACGGTGGGCATGGCCAAGGCGGCTCTAGAGGTGGCCAAGGCGGCTCTGGAGGCTCGCCATGGCCCTCCGTGTTCAATCCATGGACTGGGTCCATTCATATGTGGCCCGACTCCAACCCAGGCGGTCCTCGTGCTCCACCGCCTCGCGCCGGCTTCCCTCCACACCAGTAGCAAGCTCTTATGGCTGCCATGGCTCCGGCTCCTCCACCATACTCCACACTAGGCCACGGTCTGTACTCCTAGGCACCGGTTCAGGCACCCCCTCCTGCATGGGCACCTTGGGATCCACACTCCCTCGCCAACGCTTTCAGCACGGTGACCCTTATGCCACCGGGCAGCAGCGATTGGGTTGTCGATTCAGGTGCTTCCTCCCACATCGCATCCAACCCCGGTATGGTTACCTTATCCTCTTCCTCCACCTTTCCCTCTTCCATTGTTGTTGGCAACGATGCCACTCTCCCTGTGGTTGGCACCGGTTACTACACCCTTCCCGATCCCTTTCGCCTCAACAATGTTCTCCTTGCTCCTAACATCATCAAAAATCTTCTCGCTGTTCGTCAATTCACCACTAATAACCATGTTTCTGTTGAATTTGACCCTGTTGGCATTTCTGTAAAGGACCTACGCACGGGCACCATCCTCCTTCGCTGCAATAGCTCAGGACCTCTCTACACCCTACAGCTACCATCATCATCGTCCGGCTCCTGCGCTCTTGTCACCACCCCGTCGACGATCGATTGGCACCGTCGCCTTGGTCACCCCGGCAAGGATGCCTTCCAACACCTTACTCAGTCCTCCTCTATTATCTGCAGCAAGCCCAGCGACACCTCTTTATGTCATGCTTGTCAGCTTGGACGACATGTTCGGTTACCTTTCACTAGTTCGATGTCCAGGGCATCCAAACCTTTTGATTTAGTTCATTGTGATTTGTGGACCTCTCCTGTACTCAGCTTTTCTGGTTTCAAGTACTATTTAGTTATACTTGATGACTACTCGCATTTTCTATGGACTTTCCCACTTCGCCTCAAATCCGACACTTTTTCCACTCTCTCTAATTTTTTCGCCTATGTCTCCACTCAGTTTGGGTGCCCCATAAAATCCATCCAATGCGATAACGGCCGTGAGTTTGACAACTCTTCCTCTCGCGCTTTCTTTCTTGCCAAAGGTGTTTCCCTGCGTATGTCTTGTCCATACACCTCGCAGCAAAACGGCAAGGCTGAGCGCATCCTTCGCACCACAAATAATGTCATCCGCACCTTACTGTTTCAAGCATCTATGCCTCCCTCCTATTGGGTGGACGCTCTTGCCACTGCCACCTATCTGATCAACCGTCTTCCCACCAAGACGTTGGGTCTGTCCACACCCTACTTCGTCCTCCATGCCACTCACCCTTCCTACCGCGAACTTCGGGTCTTTGGGTGTGCCTGCTATCCTAATCTCACTGCCACTGCCCCACATAAGCTTGCTCCTCGCTCTACTTTGTGCGTCTTTCTTGGTTATTCCCCTGATCACAAAGGTTATCGCTGCCTTGATCTCACCTCCAACCGGGTCATCATCTCTCGCCATGTTACCTTTGACGAATCCCATTTTCCTTTCTCCCATCACCGATCATCTCCTCCACCCGGCGAGCTTGATTTTCTAACTGATAATGAGCCTCCACCAGCTCCTATTCATTCTGCAGGTACACCCACTACTTCAGGCCAGCCGTGCCACCTCCTCGCCTGTGGTCACTTGCACCCCTGCAGTTGAGCCGCCTGATGAGCCTCCACACTGCTGCGCCAAAGCTCTCACACGCCCTGTCATCTCCCCACGGGCACCTGTGTCTCCACCAGGCTTCCCAGCACTTTCAGCTCCACCTCCGGCGTCCCCGGTACCTGCTACCTCTCCATCACCGATGATGCCGCCCATGGTGCCTTCAGCACCCGTGATGCCTCCAGCACCCATGGTGCCCATGGCGCCCACCACGACCCAGGCACCACCGACGGCGTTCAACAAACCGCCTGTCACCCAAGTCTACTCCCGGGCGCTCTTGCTCCAGCACCTTCACCGACGTCTCCCATTGCTGCTCCCTCCCGGCGCTCGAGCATCGTCCCTTCACCACCTCGCTACGTGAAGGCTGCTCCTCCTGTCGGTGTTGTTCCCATCCCACCGGTCGCCAACTCCCATGGCATGCTGACCCGTGGGAAGTCTGGATATCACCAACCGCTCCTTCATCTTCACACCGAGGCGCTGTCACCCATTCCTCGGTCTTGTCATGACGCCCTCACTGATCCTCACTGGCGTTGCGCCATGGAAGAAGAACATTCAGCTCTTATTGAGAACCACACTTGGGACCTCGTTCCTCGCCCTGCCAAGGCAAACGTGGTCACTGGAAAATGGATCTTCAAACACAAATTTCATGCTGATGGTTCCCTGGACAGATACAAGGCTCGCTGGGTTCTTCGAGGCTTTACACAACGGCCAGGTGTCGACTATGATGAAACCTTCAGCCCCGTTGTCAAACCTGCAACTGTCCGCACGGTTATCACTTTGGCCCACTCTCGGGATTGGCCTATACATCAACTTGATGTGAAGAACGCTTTTCTTCATGGGGTTCTTTCAGAGACCGCTCATCGCTTTCGCATGACCCACGTGTTTCAATGATTCTCGGTCTTCCCAATCATGTCTACAAAAGCTGAACAAGTCCTCAGATGGTCCAAAACAGGCACCACGCGCTTGGTACAGTCGGTTTGTCGCTTATTTGGTCACTTTGGGATTCTCCAGCTCTCGCTCGACACACCTCCCTGCTCATCTACCGCCGAGGTGTTGTGACACACGCTACTACCTTCTTCTTTATGTTGATGACATCATACTCACTGCATCCTCCCAGCAGCTTCTCAGTCGTGTTATTGATGCTTTGAAGAAGGAATTCGCCATGAAAGATCTTGGTCCTCTTCATCACTTCCTTGGCATGTCAGTTCAACGACGAGGTGCTGCTATTTTTCTCTCCCAACGGCAGTATGCTCTGGATATCTTGGATCGTCATGGCATGACTGATTGCAAACCTTGCTCTACCCCTGTTGACACCTGCGCCAAAGCCTCTGCTGATGGTGGTCCTGCTGTTGCTGATCCTACAAATTATCGCAGCCTTGTGGGTGCTTTACAATACATCACTTTCACCAGGCCCGACATTGCCTATGCAGTCCAGCAGATCTGTCTTCACATGCATGATCCTAGGGAGAGTCACCTTGCTGCTGCCAAACGAATCCTTCGATACCTTCAGGGCACTCTGGATTCTGGCCTGGTCATTCCTCGATCATCCCCTACTCAACTTATTGTGTACACGGACGCCGACTGGGCCGGCTACCCAGACACTCGCCGCTCCACCTCCGCTACGCTGTCTTCCTTGGAGGCAGCCTTGTCTCCTGGTCTTCTAAGCAACAGCACACCATTTCTCGTTCCAGCGCCGAGGCCGAGTATCGGGTTGTCGCCAACGGTGTCGCCGAGGCCTCCTGGCTGCGGCGACTACTGCAGGAGCTGCATCAGCCGCTACAGTCCGCCTGCCTCGTCTACTGCGACAACATCAACGCCGTCTACCTCTCCACCAACCCCGTCCAATATCAGCGAACCAAGCACGTGGAAATCGACCTCCACTTCGTCCGGGAACGGGTCGCCATTGGGGCTGTCCGTGTGCTCCACGTTCCCACCACGTCGCAATTCGCCGATATCTTCACCAAGGGGCTCCCTTCCTCTGTTTTCCTAGAGTTTCGCTCCAGTTTTAACGTTCGTCCTAGCGACGTTCCGACTGCAGGGGGTGTTAGAATATCTAGTTTCTATGTGAATGCTTCTACTCTACTTATGAATGCGCCACCTCCTCCAGGCTGGCTTGGCCCTTTGGGCTCCTCTGTAATCTATCACTCTAGTCTAAACTGGCCCCTTGGGCACCTCTGTATCCTAGGCTATATATGTAACCCTCTTGTAACACAGCTTTGAATATATAACATCTCAGCCTGTTAGGCTTCTATCACATTGATCACTGCCCCTGTGCTTGCCATGCCAAATTTCAATAAACCATTCTATGTTGAAACAGATGCCTCTGACAAAGGTATAGGTGCTATATTACACCAAGAAGGCCATCCAATTGCTTTTGTTAGTAAAGCTCTAGGCCCAAGAAGTCAAGGTCTATCAACCTATGAGAAGGAAAGCTTAGCCATCCTGTTAGCTATTGATCAGTGGAAGTCTTATCTCCAACCAGCAGAGTTTGTTATACAAACTGATCAAAGGAGTCTCACTTACTTGACTGATCAGAAACTCAACAGTTACTGGCAACAGAAAGCAATGACCAAGTTGATGGGTTTCCAGTACAAAATCTGCTACAAGAAAGGCTCTACAAATTGTGCTGCAGATGCCCTGTCCAGAATTACTCACAACACAGCAACCTTGAATGCTATTTCAATAGCTCAGCCTTTATGGCTACAAACTGTCCAAGATAGTTACTCTGACAGTTCATCTGCTCAGCAGAAGCTTACCACATTGGCTCTGCAAAATCCATCTGGACGTTACAGTCTCATGGATGGTGTGATCAGATACAAGAACAAAATTTGGTTGGGTCATTCTACTACACTCCGGCAACAAGTTATTGATCAAATGCATGCTAGCCCTTTGGGAGGACATTCTGGTCATCTAGTTACTTATCAAAGGTTGCACAAGTTGTTTTACTGGCCTCTCATGTAGCAAACAGTTAAGCAATTCATTGACAAGTGTCAAGTATGCCAACAAGTGAAATCTGAACGCCTTCCTTACCCAGGTTTGCTAAAACCACTCTCTATTCCTGATCAGGCCTGGAAGGTTGTTACAATGGATTTTATTGAGAGCCTACCTACCTCTTCTGGATACAACTGCATTTTAGTTGTAGTCGACAAGTTTTCTAAATACGCACACTTTGTCAAATTGAAGCATCCATTTTCTACTCTTCAAGTAGCTCAGCAATACATGGAGAACATTTATAAACTTCATGGCATGCCTTCTGACAGAGACAAAATATTCACTAGCTCATTCTAGAAGGAGCTATTTCGACTCTCTGGTACCAAACTCAACATGAGCTCTGCTTATCATCCTCAGAGTGATAGTCAAACTGAAAGGGTGAAACAATGCATTGAAAATTATTTAAGGTGTTTCATACATGCTTGTCCCTCTCAGTGGTCCCACTGACTGCATTTAGCTGAATTCTGGTATAACACCTGTTATCATTCAGCTCATCATCATACTCCTTTTGAGGTGCTCTATGGTCACCAGCCAAGGCATTTTGGCATTGATCCAGATCAGGACTGTCAAGCTCCAGACTTAGAAAATTGGTTGGAAAAGCGCCAGCAAATGACTGCCTTACTGCAACAGCAGTTGTTGAGGGCTCAACAGCGTATGAAATTTCAGGCTGATAAGAAACGTACTGATCGCAGCTTCTCTGTTGGTGATCAAGTCTGGCTTAAGCTTCAACCGTATGCCCAAAGGTCTGTTGCTTCCAGAGTGAGCCCCAAGCTGTCTTATTGTTACTTTGGCCCTTATGAGATTGAGTCCAAGATCAATGAAGTTGCTTACAAGATCAAGCTACCACCGCATTCATCTGTGCATCCAGTGTTTCATGTCTCATTACTGAAGAAGGTACAAGGTAATACCACTCCAAAATTTATCCCATTGCCAGCTGATGTTCCATCTGTGAAGACACCAGAAATGGTGCTGGATCGTCGTGCTTGCACCAAGAACAAGCGTGTCTACTACCAGCTACTGGTTAAATGGTCTGATATGCCTCCTGAGTTGGCCACCTGGGAAGATGAAGATGATTTGCTTCGCCGTTTTCCATCTTTCACGGCTTGGGGACAAGCCATTGCTTATGGGGGTGGGGGGAGATGTCACGGTGAGACCTACCAGCAGCCCAGCCCAAGAGAAGGAGAAGACCCCAAGAAGCAAACGTAACAAGAAGCCCAATCCACGCTACATCGGCCCAAATTGGAAGTGAGTTCAAGCCCAGCTGCGTCTGGTGAAACGCTGTCCAACAGCTGTAATCACATACTCTTAAGAGGGGAGAGGAAGAAAACCTGAACTCGTCTTGGTAGTTGTCGGCTTTGGCGGCGAGCTGCGGCTCGAGATCGTCGGCGACGCCGATTCCACCGGCTACTTGTATCAGATTTATGTTCCAGTTCTAAGTAAACACTCGATTCCTACCGTAGCACTCAGTAGTGTTACATAATGATTAGGTGTTTTATTTTCTATAGTCTGATTGAGTTTTCTTAGGCGTGTAACTTTTACCCTAGTGTGGAATTGACATGATTAACTTGATGTAGTTTTTTCTAGAATTCATTTTGAACAGAAACTCCCTACAAAAAAGGGTGTATGTTTGCTAAATGCATTTACCACTTCTATTGTGTAGTTATATATAGTTAATTCAATGCTAATAGGATTTATTTCATAATTTTTGTTTTTTTTCTAAGATTTATTATGCAATTTTAAACTATTAGCCATTTTGATCATTTTATGGAAAAAGAAGAAAGCTAATAGACACTTTGCATTAGAAATCCAAACTATTTCTAAATAAACCTAACCGTGCCCTCTCTCTATTTCTCTCTCTCTAGCACTTTTTTCAATTGGAACCCTTACTTCTTAGCTTTTTTCTGCGAGCAGCTCTGCTTCTTCTCGTTCACATACAAGCACAGTAGGCAACGCAGAAAAAGGAAAACGGCCAGTGTGTCTGGGAGTTCTAGCTAGAGGGAAGGTAGGCTTGCCACCCCACCTCGCCCTTTAGGTCAATCCTCCTCTAGAGAGAATAAAAGGTTATTGACAAAAACGTCATCCCACTGTTTCTCTCTCCCACATTATTTTGATAATACTTGCATTGGAGAGCAAATTTGTTCTAATTCAGAGTACTAAGATAATTGCATCTTCCTTTTTTGGCCTGCGGCAGCTCAGCGTCCTTTCTACATCTCGGAGTAGCAATTTTTCCTAATAATATTGATGATCAAAATTTAGCAGTACAAGCAGCTAAAACAAACTTGTTTCTTTCTCAGGGAGTTAGTTAGAGTATATCCAATTTTTTCAAAAAAAGTTAATTGGTAAATCACTAAAACTATTTTTTTTAAATTACACATTACAATATAGACGCTCATAACACGCACACACACTCGTCCCTAGCTGAAACTTGAACCCAGATAGACCAACTGATCTATGATCAGTTTGCAAAAAACACTAAAACTTTCATGTCACTAAAAAATAGGAGCATGTTTGTTGGCCTTTTCAGTATCCAAGGTCTGAAGCTTATTTTCACGCACATGCAGCATTTAAGTCCCGACGTCTCTCTTTGGAGCCGTTTTCACATAACGGGTAAAATGAAACGGCTCCACCGATGAAGTCCCTTCTACTGTTTGCAAGGAGCGTCTGCCTGCATTTTACCAAACGGTTTACCAAATCGCTTCATCCATGTTATGGAGTCGGTATGTGGCTTCACTTTAGACGTCTCCTCGGCTTCTACTGTTGCACGTCTGCATGCACCATATCCATATGTGGGCGTTTTCTTTCTTGCTACTACTATCAGCGCGTGTTTAGTTGGACCTTAAATTTTAAAAAGTTACTACAGTATCTGTCACATCGAATATTTATGGTCTATGCATGGAGTATTAAATATAGACAAAAAAAAACTAATTGCACAGTTTAGTAGAAAATTACGAGACGAGCGTTTTGAGCCTAATTAGTCCATATTTAAACACTAATTACTAAATAAAAACGAACGTGCTACTGAGTAGCCTCAAATTTCAAATTACTGAAACTAAACACGCACTCAATGACATTTTCTCGTATATTGTGTTTTGCTTGTGAATCGAAGCATCACGTGTGGGGACTAGTAAAAATTAATGGCTTTCTTGGTCTATGTGACGAGTAGTTGGCCTTTGTATACTTTTATATTTTTTCTTTTGTATTCCAAATCAGTTCTGTTATTTTATATTTTCTTTCTTTTATATATTTATATTGTGAACCTTGTTCTTTCTCCTTATTCTTTTCGCACGTCCTTCTATCTCCAGATTGACCGATTAGATATATCTATCTTTCTGTGTTTGGATCGATTTCGTGAGAAGACTGAGAGTTAAGATAAGATGTTATCGGAGAATTTTTTTACATTTGTATTGGAAACAACCTTCTCTTTTTCATTATTTTTTTGCACGTCCTTCCATCTTCAGATTGGCAGATTGGTATGTACGCACGTATCTTTCCGTGGTTGGATCGGTTTTTCCGAGTACGAAAAGATTGAGAGTTAAGATAAAGAAGTTATTGAGAGAGTCTTTTTTTTTCAATTTTATCAAAAAATCAAGATTGGGAGTGGTTTTTAAAAATCTCGAGAAATGTTTTTAGAACAAGTCCAATAATAAGGTCAAGTATTTAGCTATATGTCAAACAATAAATGTTAAGTTATACAATAGTTGTCTCTTATTTGTATATAAAAACTTTTAATTATTTTTTATCTATATCACATCTTCTCTTTTCTAATCCTCCTCAAATTCACTTATATCTATACTCATCACTGTATAGATGGCTACCATGCCCAGCTAGTTACTTGTACGAGAGATCGAGCTTGTCTTCTCTCTTCTAGGTAGACTTGTAACATTAATATTTATTTGGCTGTAAAATTATTATGGTACCCGTTCTTATTTCGAGACCATAGACGGACTATAGGTATGACTCTGGATACCCACGGCAGACTATATGGACTGCGCTTTTAGGTACGGTCCAGCCCACAAGACAAAGACCTACGGTGCACGGCACTGCTCGGCGTGTATCATAAGACATCAAGGGCGATATCCTGAAGATACTACGAGATCTATTAGGATACGTTCGATCTCATGATTCATATAATTTGTTATTATTTTCCGATTATCTCCTAGATCTAACCAATTTGTAACCGTGCCCCATACTATATAAGGCGGGCAGGGGCCCCCTCAAAACACACGCAATATCATATCATAGCCAATACAATCCAACAGACCACTGGAGTAAGGTATTACGTCGCGCTGACGGCCCGAACCTGTCTAACTCTTGTGTCTTTATTGCCTTCTTATTTTCGATTACACGCATCTCTACCAATCAATCTACCATCTCTACCAATCAATCTACCTATTTCTCGAGGACTGCCGACGATATTCCCCGGCACGGACGCAAGTGTTTACTCACATAGTAATTTTTATTTAAAACATTTATTTCCAACTGAGAAGGAAACCGAAGAGTCGTTCTGTGATCCTCTGCTTCATAACCTCATTCAAGACACCGGGCCGTACGCTGCAGTGCAGCGTCCACCATCGCCATGCCATTGCCCAGCGACCCTGGTCCTGCTGCGCGCGCCATGGCGAAGCAGTTCAAGGTCCTGCTTCCTCCTTCCTTCCACAAGCTGGTAAGCACAGCCTCCCTCGATCGCCGGTCGACGCTTTACTGTGCTAACGAAACCCACTGATTGCGCAGCGCATCACCGACGAGCTCGCCGGGTGCTTCGACACCGGCGAAGGCGAAGGGGCGCCAGAGCCGACGGCCCTCGTGGTCAGCCCGTTCGGCAAGGTGTGGCGCGTGGAGGTGGGCCGGGACGGCGACGGTGCGTTCCTGGGGCGCGGGTGGGCGGAGTTCTTGGCTGCACACGGCGTTGAGCTCGGTTGGTTCGTCGTGCTCCGGCACGAGGGCGGCGGCGCGCTTACCGTCAAGGTGTTCGACACCAGCTTGTGCATTAAGGAGTTCAGCGCTGCTGCTGCAGGTAAACATTTATTTCCAGGAAAACCCTGGATGATGCTTATTGATTTAGGGACCCTAATCTCCTAATTGGTCTGGGACGTTGAGAAACTTAATCGAGGACGTCAAGATTGCAGTGCTGAAAATATATAGCACATTCAATTTCTAAGATTTGAGCTCTACTAGTCAATGAAAAAAAAAGATCAATTCTAATTGAATGGTCCCATGAATCGCAGTTGAACCTATTGCACTTGTAACTAATGATGATATTGTATTGGTAACATTATTTTTAGTAATTAATTAAATATACTACATCTTCTAATTCCAAATGCAGGGTGTTTACGGTAGTGACACGGTCTTCAATATAATGCATTGATTTGTATTTTTTATCGAGATATATACCATTTCAAATAGAGAAAAATATATAATGTAAAAGTATTTTCCAGTATGGGTGACATCAACTATGTACTGTGAATTTATGCAACTTCTTGTATATTGATGGTCAAGTTAAAAAAGTTAATTTGGCTGTGACTAGAATTCTAAAATGATCTGCATTTGGAATTGTAGCTAGTATAATTTTTCAGTTCATATTGAATTATTGATACGGAAATCACATTTTCTTCAGTTATGACATCCAGAAGCAGCAAAGGTGTTATCTGTAAGCCACAGTTCATCAGGATTTTTCATCCGCATCTCTCGGAAAAGATGGTATATATGCAAACTCTGGATAATATATTCTGATAAGAATATACATCTTAAGAATATACATCTTGTTGAACATTTAAACTTTAGCTGTATCATGAACATTGCGCCTTTTTACTTTGCATGTGTTATCGCAGATATTGCCTGCTAGGTTTGTGAAAGATTACATCAGAGACGAGTGCCTAAACAGCCAGACGGCCATCATTCTCAGCCCCATTGGCAAATTTTGGCACATTGAGCTTAAGAACGATCAATCAGGCATCTTCTTCACAGGTGGCTGGTCACAGTTTCTGGAGTTCCATGGAATATGTAATGGTGACGTTTTGCTCTTTAGATATGAAGGGAACATGGTTTTCAAATTCAAAGCATTTGGACTTAGTGGACGCCAGAAAGATTTCAGGGACCAGAACGCTGGGATTCAACCAAGTGAGAAAATGAATTGCTGTTTGGTGTATTGAGACTACTGGCAGATATGAGGGTATGTGTATAACTTTTGTCTTCTCATTGACAGATGCGGAAAAACGACAGGAAACACATTCTCCCATCAGGAAACGTAAAAGCAATGATGAGAAGTCAAGCAGTGAAGAAAACAAGAGGCCAAAAAGTTCAGTGACATCCCCAACACTGAAACTGAAAGAACCCTATCAGATAGGGACAACATCTTGGATAAGGAAAAAGATCAACACCTATGCACTTGAGCGCCTTCTCGTAAGCTCAGCATTTGGTCTTCTTGAGTATCTTATCTCTTTTTTGTTATTTTATTATTTTGATGCTTTATTACATTGCCTCTTTTATCATACAATTATATCTGTTACTAACTCCAGTCATGTAAACATGGGTTTCAGACTTTTTATGGCACAGCTTGTTTTGTGCATCCTTTCCTTATCTGAACTTACAGTATTCTTCACTGGATATAGTATAACTTCTAGTCCCTCTTTTATCTGTACCCCTCTAGTATTTCTTCACAACCTAGAATCTGGTTCATTTCAATAAGCAACTGAAGTGAGGATTTTTTTTTCTGAGGAATCAAAATTAACATGCATGCATGTTATAACCAAAATAAATAGTACTTTAGCAAGAAAAGCTTTGGCATGATATAACATGTTGATGTAATAAACGACAGTAGACTTATGCATTGGATAATGCAAAGGTGGAATCTGTTATCCTTTATCTAAAAAAATGAAGAAAAAACTTTGACCAAATAATAGAGCTTCCACAGTATTTCTCATATATATTTCTAAGCCAACCCACATGAAGAGGCACTTAGCAATTATCCAATAATTAGTATTTGCCCACTAGCGATCAAATGTTGATACTTAATGAAATAAGTTGTTACATCACAATGCTTGTAGTCGTTGTCAAAGAAGTTCTGCGATTGGATTGGGTTCCAGATGAATTGCACAATCACCCTTAAGACAAAAATGGACAGCACCAGATCATGGCAGGTGCATGGTGCTGCATACAAGAACTATCGCTACATTCTCGGAGAGGGCTGGAAGAGGTTCTGCCAGGAGAACAGTCTCAAGACAGGCGACCTGTGCACCTTCAGCATCATCGAAACCACACTGTGGCATGTCACTATCATGCGCTGTAAGAACAAATAATTTTTTTCTTCATATGTAGAGATTGTTCGCAATAGATTGAATGTGAGTTAAATACTAAAGTGCATGTTCATTTTGTTTTATGATGCAGCAACATTAGCAGATACTTTTAAGCAAAAAAAGTCACCTTGTTCATCCAGTAGGGACCACAAGACCAACAAGGGTAGTTCAAGTAGTGAAGGAACAAAGAAGCCAAAATCCTCCATGACATCTTTGAGCAAGGTTCCATCATACACAAGATGTGTCTACGACATTGGGCCACCATCTTGGATACGGAAGGAGATGAATACCAACTCAATAACAAAGCATTTTGTAAGGATGCTCATTCTCCCGTCGATTCTAGGAAGTTAGGAATATGGTTAAAATTAAAGTCATTCAAAATATGAACTGATTGAACACCTCGTTTTGATATTTTTAATTAGTCAGAGCATACATGCACATGCTATCAAAAAGTATAGTACTCAAACCTACATGAACAAGAATTAAGATATATTAGTGGTTTGTATCCACTGTGATATATACATCAATAACTGACATATATAGCTTATTACAATAATCAGTTGTGTAACTAACCTGATTGTGATTATTCAGTCTTTGGCATCGACCTTCTATCATCCCTCCTTTTATCTGTAACCCTCTAGTTTTGCTTCACTACCTAGAATCCGGTTCATTGCAATAAGCAATTGTAGTAAAAGGATCTTTTTTCTGCTAGGTTGAGAAATAGAAACTAACATGATGCATGCTATAACCAAAATAAATAGTACTTTAGCAAGAAAAGCTTTGGCATGATATAATAGGTCGATTTAATAAACAACAGTGGCCTTATGCATTGGATGGTGCAAAACGACGGAACCCATTGTCCTTTGTCTAAAAAATAAATAAGCATTTTTGAAAAAATATTAGAGCTTCTACAGTATTTTCCATATGTATTGCACCAAGAAAAACTTGTAAGCCAACCCACCTGAAGAGGCACTCATAACTAATTAGCAATTATCCAATTAGTATTTGCCCACTAGCGATCAAATGTTGATGCTTCATGAAATAAGTTGTTACATCACGATGTTTGTAGACGTTGTCCAAGAAGTTCTGCAATTCGATTGGGTTCCGGATTACTTGCACAATCACCCTTAAGACAGAAATAGACAGCACCAGATCATGGCAGGTGCGTGGTGCTGCATACAAGGACTCTTGCTATATTATTGGAGAGGGCTGGAAGAGCTTCTGCCAGGATAACAGGCTCAAGACAGGCGACCTGTGCACCTTTAACATCATCAAAACCACACTGTGGCATGTCACTATCACACACTGTAAGCACAAATATAAATCAGTTTATTTTTAATATGTAGAGATTGTTCACAATAGGTTGAATGTGAGTTAAATACTAAAGTGCATGTTCATTTTGTTTTATGATGCAGCAACATTAGCAGATACTTTTAAGGAAAAAGAGTCACCTTGTTCATCCAGTAGGGACCACAAGACCAACAAGGGTAGTTCAAGTAGTGAAGGAACAAAGAAGCCAAAATCCTCCATGACATCTTTGAGCAAGCAGGTTTCATCATCCACAAAATCTGTCTACGACATTGGGCCGCCATCATGGATACAGAAGGAGATGAATACCAACTCAATAACACAGCATCTTGTAAGGATGGTCACTCTCCCGTTGATTCTAGGAAGTTAGGAATATGGTTAAATTAAAGTCATTCAAAATATGAACTGATTGAACACCTCGTTTTGATATTTTTAATTAGTCATCAGAGCATACATGCACATGCTATCAAAAAGTATAGTACTCAAAGCTACATGAACAAGAATTAAGATATATTAGTGGTTTGTATCCACTGATATATATACATCAATAACTGACATATACAGCTTATTACAATAATCAGTTGTGTAACTAACGTGATTGCGATTATTGCAGTCTTTGGCACGGGACTTCTGCGATCAGATTGGATTGCGGCAACACTGCACGATCACGCTCAAGACCTCAATCAACAGCAATAATTCTTGGCAGGTTGGTGGTCTCTGGCAAAAGGTTGGTAGTTACGTTATTGAGCGGGGATGGAAAAGGTTCTGCAGGGAGAACAAAGTGAAGGTTGGTGACGTCTGCACCTTCAATGTCATCGAAACCAAGCTGTGGCATGTCGTCATCACACGTTGTCGCTAAGCTATGGTTTGGGCTGTTGAGTGCTTGGCTTCAACACCTCTGTAGGGAACTTTGCTGCCTACTGATGTCCCAGCAACTTGCAGTTACATGTTTCAACACTCTAGCTTGACTGCATGAAATTAAACTAGCTCATTGTGTTAATATGCTGTATTTTGCTTCCTATGGATGTCCTATCTTCTTGCAGTTACATATTTTAGATTTTTGGCTTAACTACATAAAACTAGCTTATGTCAAGTATTCATGTTATGGCCAATTAATGGTGATCCGGCGTTACCGCTAATGAATCACGAGCCAGTGAATCAGTGATTGAAAGAATATATTCACGATCAGACATTAGTGCAACGTCACTGATATAGATGCTTGCAGGCTTCCTAGTTGCAGCGAGTCAGCACTAGAATATGTACTTTTGGTCAATGGCGGACTCAGCCAAAAATTTCAGGTAGGGCAACTGCCATATACATATACTAAACTTGACCGATATTCTGATCTAACCACATATATGTATACCATATTTATATTGGTACATCACATAACAATTATATTATAATCGGTAATTTGGCAACCAAATAGTAGAGGTGGAGATTGAAGATGATTACCCCTCAAATGAAAAGCATATAAGAAGAGTTTTTGTTCCATAGTCCATATAATTTGCCACACATCAAATGATGATCAAAACAAAAAGGCGTAGAATTTGAAGCTGGGCGCTGGGAGCAAGGAGCCAGGAGCCAGGAGCCAGGAGCCGAGAGTCTGGCGCCGGGGTAGCGAGACATGGGAGTTGGGAGGCTAGAGGCTGAAGCTAGATGGCCGACCGCTAGGCGGCCGGGGCTGGAGCACCGGGAGACGGGATCCTCCGAGGCCGAGCGCTCGAGGCTCCGCCTCCGAGTCGGGGATGTCGTGCCGCCGCCGCTTGGTACTATCCGCCTGTACGCGAGAACTGGCGAGCCAGGCAGGGCAACTTTTTTGGCAACTGGCCTCCCGTAATGGCTAATGGGCTAAATGAGGCCCAATGGGCCATCCCAGAACTTAATCTTTCCTACCTATATGGTTTTAATTTATTTTATTACCAACAATACTTCGGCCGCTCCTGTTCTCTAAAAAAAATACAAAAATGCATTGCTATCAGAATACAGGCAAAAGTTGCTATAGGGATGATATTAAATTATCCGAATATACTAAGACTATAATCGGAATTGGGAGTTACCATACTTTGACGTAGAAATAAACCAATTTATCATGAATTAATCATGATAATTCTGTAGGTGTTCCGAGGAATTTAAAAACATTTTTATCATCAATTTTGACGGGTCATTTTCAGGTTTAAACACAAAGTAATAACATGTTTATGGTCAACCCACAAGCTGAGTTTCATGTGTGATGGGACTCATTGTGAAGCAAATGACATAATTGAGATATGAGACCAAGATTATTGATGGTCAGTTGTCAATGCTTGAATGGTCCATAGATAAAGATCATTGAGAAGGAAACTCATGAAAATAATCTAGTTCAAGTAGAAGACAACAATGCAAATGAAATGGTATTCAATATGTGCTCAAAGTTGATTCAAAGCAAGATGTGACTTGATAGCTCAATAAGTAAAGGGTTTCGAGGTACTAAACGGCGGTGAAGGAAAATTAATGTGGTTTAAATATATTCATTTAATCTAAAATATAAATGAAATAAGTCATATAAATGTATTTACTATGCCTAGATCTTCAGATATAGGATTTCCTCGAGCTAGGATCTGGTAATTGTCGATCACCGCTAAGACCAAAAGAGTAAAAATCGTGGCCAGGCGTCAAGGAACAATCCCCATGTTGCCCATCACAGTGCCATGGTCAAGAGAAAACATACCTATTTTTTAGAGAAAAAAAACACAAAAAACATCCACAATAAAAAAAAGAGAAGCAAAAACATGAAAATTAAGGGGAAACACAACCTACAAAATAAAAGAACAAAAGGTTATAAAAGATCACCAGCGAAGCACCACCATATTTTTTATACTATATAATATAGTATAATACAACAAAGGGTTTCTTCTGTCTGATATTTTTATTTCTCAAACATCCTCATGTCGTTTGTATTCTGTATGTGATCCAGATTCATGAGAGAATAACATGTACAATGACTATACAGACTCCGATTACAAGATGCATTTATTCTTTTTTTCGGCAGTGTTAGCGTCTGGACGTCTGGACAGATGCCAACACCACACTCTCCCCCCCAAGCTCTGCATCCCGTTCACCCCACTGCATGTGGGGAGTCTCCATTTGTGCCCCATCCACTTCTCACGCGCATGCATGCGGCCAGCAGTGCAACATGTGACTACAGTAGGTGGTTACGCCAGCATCCAAAAGAGGGGAGGGGGCGGCGGATGCCAAGCCAGCGCTGGGAGGAGGAGGAGGAGGAGACATCAAGAAGAAGGTGAGGTAGCAGAAAGCGAAGACCGAGATGCAACACCCGATCTACTTTTGAAACATCCGGATACAACACTTGCCACATATGTCTGAAGACAGATGAAACACATGAAACATGCATCTAAAACACTAGCGACAACACTGGATCTACTTTTGAAATATCCAGACGAAGCACTTGCAACATATGTACGAAACAACTGAAACACTCAAAACGTGTGTATGAAACACTTGTAAAAAACACTTCATATGTGTGAAAACATATGCAACATTTAGATGATACACTTGCAAATATACTTCTGCAAAACGAGATTAAACATTTGGAATATACACTTGAAACATACGTGTATAGGCACTACAACATGTGCAACATTCCGTACAACATCCAGATAAAACACTTGCAACATCCAGATGAAACATATGAAACACATGAAATATACTCTTGTAACATGGGCTTTGCTTGGACGAATGGAGGCATGCCGGCGCGGAGGTCGACGGCAGCGCATGGACCTCGCTTTGTGGCAGCGGCATGGGCTACTCGCTGGTGGGCGCGACGTCACACGAATCTCGGGCCGCTCGCCTGCTTCCTGGAGCATCCGTTGTGGTGACTCGCCAGCTCGGTGGAGCGGCCACGGCGAGTGGGCCGACCGCGCCGAGGAGGCAGCGCGGTGGAGGTGGGTGAGGCAAACTGGGCACGGTGGGGAATGCGACGCGGAGGAGGCAGCATGGAGGAGGCCGTTGGGGATGGGGCGCGGCGCTGTGGGGGACCGGCGGCGGTGAGGCGGAGTGGGGTGGGTGGATGGGCATGGTGACGCAGGGAAAAAACGGCGCAGCGAGCATCGGGGCGTGCGGACGGGACGACCGGATAGGCTGCGTGTTCGGCTGGTCACTTTTGGCTGGCTGGATGCCTTTTTTTCCCAGCCGGAGCAGTGTTTTTCTCACAAAATTTCAGCATAAACAGTGTTCCAGCATAAAACAGTACCGAATTTCATCCCAGCCGAACAAGCTCAGGGTCGCTGGGCGAGCGCGTGTGAGAGTGAGTGGAGAGAGGCGCCCGTCCGTCCACGTCTTAGGCCCCGTTCGCTTGGAGGAATTTAGAGGAATCTGTAGGAATTTGTGAGAGAAAAACACTATTCTGGATGAAAAAAGAAGCGGAATCAAGCCAGGTTTAAAGGCACGCGAAGGCCTTAATTATATCATTATCGTTTTTTTTTACAATCCGCACGACACGTTTGCTACGTTTGGCTAGTTATAGAAAATACTTGGAGTTGCTTTTATTTCCTTTATTTATAAACAAACGGACGCTGATTTTGCACATGTATATTAATTAAGATAAGAAGGAAACCTAAACGTCATTGCCTGATTATCTGCTTGACTCGAGGACACGGCCGTTCGTACGCTGCAGCGTCCACCCTCGCCATGCCATTGCCCAGCGACCCTGGTCCTGCTGCGCGCGCCATGGCGAAGCAGTTCAAGGTCCTGCTTCCTCGTTCCTTCCACAAACTGGTAAGCACAGCCTCCCTCGATCGCCGGTCGATCTCAATCGCCGATCGACGCTTCACTGTGCTGACGATCTACTAAACTCACGAACTGATTCCGCAGCGCATTTCCGACGAGCTCGCTGGGTGCTTCAACGCCGGCGACGGCGGAGGCGAAGGGGCGCCAGAGCCGACGGCCCTCGTGGTCTCTCCGTTCGGCAAGGTGTGGCGTGTGGAGGTGGGCCGGGACGGCGACGGTGCGTTCCTGGGGCACGGGTGGGCGGAGTTCTTGGCCGCGCACGGCGTCGATCTCGGTTGGTTCGTCGTGCTCCGGCACGAGGGCGGCGGCGCGCTCACCGTCAAGGTTTTCGACACCAGCATGTGCATTAAGGAGTTCGGCACTCCGGCTGCAGGTGAACAATATTTACAGGCAAATCTTGGGTGATGCTAATTAATTTAGTGATCCTAATCTCCTAATTAATTGGCGTGGGATGTTAAGAAACTTAATCGAGGACTTCAAGATTGCAATGCTGAAAACATATAGCCCATTCAACTAGTCAGAAACTCAGAATTGATGTTTCCATGCAATCTAAGAAAGAACTGATCTCCCATCAAAAAGAAAGAAAGAAAGAAAGAACTGATCTTGTGTTAAACTAGAATTGGGAACGGGTGCTTTGGAAAGACGATTATTTCCTGTTCATGCTAAAATTTGAACTATTTTTAAAAAATTCTTGCAAATGGTGGAATTCATGGGTTCTAAATGGTCCCCTGGATCGCAGTTGAACCTATTGCACATACAATGTATGGTCATTGGTAGCATCATTTTTAGTAATTAGTTAAATATACTACACCTTCTGATTCTAGATGTAGAGTGTTTACGGCAGTGGTCTTCAATATAATGCTTTGACTTGTAATTTTTATTGAAAATATACCATTTCAAATAGCGAAAAATATATAGTATAAAGGTTATTTTCCATGATGGGTAACATCAACTATGTATTCTAAATTTATGTAGCTTCTTGTATATTGATGGTCAAGTTAAAAAGGTTTGGCTGCGGTTAGAATTCTAAAATGATCTGCATTTGGACTTGGAGGTTGTATCATTTTTCAGTTTACATTGATACTTAAATCACATTTTCTTCAGTTATGACATCCAGAAGCAGCAAAAGGTGTTATCTGCAAGCCACAGTTCATCAGGATTTTTCATCCGTATTTATCGGAAAAGATGGTATGCAAACTCTGGATACTATATTCTGATCGATAAGATCATAAGAATATACATCTTGTTGAACATTTAAACTTGAGATGTATCATGAACATTGTGCCTTTTCACATTCATACATATGCTGTTGCAGATACTGCCTGCTAGGTTTGTGAAAAATTACATCACAGAAGAGTGCCTAAACAGCCAGACGGCCGTCATTCTCAGCCCCCTTGGCAAATTTTGGCATATTGAGCTTAAGAACGATCAATCAGGCATGTTCTTCACAGGTGGCTGGTCACAGTTTCTGGAGTTCCATGGAATATCTAATGGCGACGTTTTGCTCTTGAGATATGAAGGGAACATGGTTTTCAAATTCAAAGCATTTGGACTTAGTGGACGCCAGAAAGATTTCAGGAACCAGAACGCTGGGATTCAACCAAGTGAGAAAATGAATTGCTGTTTGGTGTATTGAGACTACTGTCAGATATGAGGGTATGTGTATAACTTTTGTCTTCTCATTGACAGATGCGGAAAAACGACAGGAAACACCACCTCCCATCAGGAAACGTAAAAGCAATGATGAGAGGTCAAGCAGTGAAGAAAACAAGAGGCCAAAAAGTTCAGTGACTTACCCATCACTGAAAGAACCCTATCAGATTGGGACATCATCTTGGATAAGGAAAAAGATCAACACCTATGCGCTTGAGTCCCATCTTGTAAGCTCAGCTTTTGCTCTGTTTGAGTGCCTCCTCTCTTTTTGTTATTTTATTATTTTGATGCTTTATTACATTGCGTCTTTATTGACACAATTTATATACCAGATGCCTCGATATTCTTTATATTTTACTACCTATAGTCATGTAAACATGGGTTTCGGAGTTTTTATTTTTTTCGCGAACAGGCCTCATCAGCCAGTTTTTCATTAAGAGGAGATTAGAGTTTGTTACACAGCGCATACCGTTCGAACTTCCCTGAGGACAGCGATTGTTGCCCCACAGTGAAGCCGAAGGTATGCGCTACAACATTTTACTTATATACAATTATACGCACAAGCTTTTGCGACAAAGACATAAATAGAGCTGAAGCTAATTCAGCCCAGCAGCGAGCGTGCCAACTCCCCGCGCGCTTGGTCGTCGAAAGTGGCAATGCGAAGGCTTGCTCGTACTCATCGAATGCCGAGGTGTCAAGCTCACAACTTCTTCAAGTAGTACATTACGAGCTTGGATTTCTGGCTTCACAACCCTCTTCTTGTTTTTAGCCGCCAGCCGACTACTACGAGGGACCAAGGATGCATCATTCTGTCTATTGGAGTTGGAGAAGATAATCCAGCCGGCTTGGGGGAAGAAGCCAGGCTGGAGCATCAGCCTCCCACCTTGGTCAGGCTCCAGAGACGTCCCGCAGCCTAGGATGCCGAGCGAGTCGGCGCTGAACGTTGGCAGCACCAACGGGCACCTTGCCATTGCGACGACGGGGGATGAGCGTGCCAGGTGGTGGAGGCCATGGCACCTGAGGCGCCGCTGCGGCAACTTGCAAGTGGCGGCCTTGAAGCCCAGGTGGAATCCGACGCGACGGAGGTGGAGCGCCTGCTGGAGCATGCATGACCCAAACATGCGCAGGAGGGGAGCACGGCAGCACTCATCCTCATCTGGCAGGGTAGCGCAACGGTGATGAGAGATGCGCGGACCCAAACGTAGCGGATAGGGATAAGGGCCAGCTCGTCATGTCAGCATCTCCTGACCACGGTACTAGAGGCCCCGGACGAGCTGAGCGGATGCACGACCCTGACGCTGGTGTCGTGACGGGCGGCGATGTAGCGGCGACTTCTCGCACCGCCAAGCACGATGGCTGAGCGGATCATGGGGCACAACATCGACCGCGTAGGAGAGGTATCATGGAGAGGATTTTCTTTTTGACTGCAAGGTTGACAAATAGAAACTAACATGCGCATGAATGTTATGACCAAAATAAATGGAATTTTAGCAAGAAAAGCAGCTTTGGCGTGATATAATATGTAGATGTAATAAACAACAGTGTTCTTATGGATTGGATGGTGCAAAAGGACGGAACCCATTATCCTTTATTAAAAAAATAAAGAAAAAAACTTTGACAAAATATTATACCTTCTGTTAGAATAATGTATACGTGCTGTGCGTGTGTATATGGTAGGCCCGAGCCTGGTGTAGCCGGCCAGCCCTCTGTATTTGGTTAGAGAGATATGAGATCTCGGTTGGTTCTCTTTCTATAATCCAATATTTCTACATAATCCATATTGCTTTTATGGTATCACGAGCCTATTTTTTTTTTTTTCTCCGCTTCCGTCGCCGCCGCCTCTCTCGTGTGCGCCCTCCGCTGCCATGGCCGGCGACCCACCAGCCGCAGCAGCCCCTGCCTCCGCCGCTGCTGCTAGCGCGACCGGCGCTGCCGTTGTTGATCCCTCCGATGCCGCCGCTGCCGCGGCCCGCCAGCTGGCTGAGACCGCTCGCCTCGCCAAGGAAGAGCGCGATCGCGCGGCCCAGGCAGCCCGCGATGCCGCCGCTGCTCGCGCGGAAGAAGCATAGCGTGAGGCCGCCCTCGCCCAGCACGAGCGCGACGCTGCTGACGCGTGCCTCCGTGCTGTCCTCAGGCGCGCCGCGGCTGCTCTGCCTCCGGAAGACGACGCTGCTTCCAGCGAAGATGAGGGCTACGCCTCTGCAGATGGCGGCGCCCCCCACCTTCACGCTGCTCTGCTCCAACACGAGGCTACCGCGCTCCTCAATCTGCACGCCCAGGCGGTGGCTTTGCAGAACATCCGCAACCTCGTGCCGCTCCTCCTCGATGTCGCCTCGACCTTCTACGCTCGCTGGCGCGAGGCGTTTCTACTCGCCGTCGGCCGCTACTCTCTGGAGAGCCATGTCCTCTCCGGCGTACAGCTGGCGTCCACCTCCTACTTCGACTACAGCCAGGGCAGCCATGGCACTGCCGCCTCCCGTTCGCCTGGTGTATAGCCGCCAGCACCCTGCACGGACTACCAGCACTACTCCTGTCGCCACCGGTGTTGCTTCTCCGGCCGCTGTACCGATCACAGCTGATCCGATTTCTCCTGTGCGCCTCCCTGCTGGGGCAGCTCCTGTCGTCCCCGTGGCCAATTAGCACGCCATGCGGACGCGCGGGAAGGCCAGCTTTCGACAACCAGTGGATCGACTAGTCCTTCAGGCAGCACCACTGTCGCCCATTCCGCGGACTTACCGCGCTGCTCTCACCGATCCCAATTGGCATGCAGCTATGCAAGAGGAGTTCTCTGCACTTCTTGCCAACCACACTTGGGATCTCGTTCCGCGGCCGTCTCAATCCAATGTGGTGACCGGTAAGTGGGTGTTCAAACACAAGTTCAAGGCAGATGGCTCCCTCGAGCTCTACAAAGCCCGTTGGGTTCTTTGGGGCTTCACTCAGCGCCCAAGCATTGACTATGATGAGACCTTCAGCCCCGTTGTGAAACCCGCTACTGTTCGAACGGTTCTCTCTCTCTCTCTCTCTCTCTATTTCTCGCCACTAGCCAGTGCATCAGCTTGATGTGAAGAACGTTTTTCTTCACGAGAATCTCTCAGAGACAGTCTACTGCGCTTAGCCCTCAGGATTTGAAGACTCTTCTCATCCGGACTTCGTGTGTCGCCTGAATCGGTCTCTCTATGGGCTGAAACAGGCGCCTCGTGCATGGTACAGTCGCTTCGCCACCTTTCTTCTTCGCCTGGGTTTTGTGGTGGCCAAGTCAGATACCTCGCTGTTCGTATTTCATCGTGGCAGCGACACTGCCTATCTCTTGTTGTATGTGGACGATATTGTGCTAACTGCCTCCTCTACGGATCTGCTTCGTCGCATCATTGCAGCCCTTGAGCAAGAATTTTCTATGAAGGACTTGGGCGAGCTTCATCATTTTCTGGGTATGCATGTTCAGCGCACTACCTCCGGATTGTTCCTGTCACATCACCAGTACATGTTGGATATCCTGGATCGTGCTAGCATGGCTGACTGCAAGCCGTGCTCCACTCCGGTTGATCTCAACCCGAAGTTATCTGCTGATAGTGCACCTATTTCATATCCTACGGATTTTCGAAGTCTTCGCTGGAGCCTTGCAATATCTCACCTTCACACTGCCCGATATTGTATATGCTGTTCAGCAGGTGTGTCTCCATATGCATGACCCGCGCGAGCCTCATCTAGCAGCATTGAAGCGCATCCTGCGCTACATCCGTGGCACCTTGGACTTGGGTCTTCATTTGCGTGCTTCTAGTCAGTCTGAGCTTGTGGTCTACTAAGATGTCGATTGGGCTGGTTGTCCCGACACTCGTAAGTCTACATCGGGCTATGCTGTGTTCCTTGGCGACAACTTGGTCTCCTGGTCCTCCAAGCGCCAGAACACTGTCTCCCACTCCAGTGCTGAAGATGAGTATCGTGTTGGTGCCAATGCCGTCGCTGAGGCTTCCTGGTTGCACCAGCCGCTGGCTGAGTTGCACACACCTCTGTGCCAGGCGATCCTAGTCTATTGCGACAACATTAGCACCGTATACATGTCTTCCAACCCCGTTCAACATCAGCGTACCAAGCACATTGAGATTGATGATCTTCACTTCGTTCGAGAACGAGTGGCCCTTGGAGCTGTCCGCGTCCTTCACGTCCTGATGACGTCTCAGTTTGCCGATATTTTCACCAAAGGGCTGCCAACTTCTGTCTTCATGGAGTTTTGGTCCAATCTCAACGTCCAACGTCCGACTCATTGACGTTGCGACTGCAGGGGCATGTTAGAATGTATATGTGCTGTGCGTGTGTATATGGTAGGCCCGAGCCTAGTATAGCCGGCCGGCCCCTGTATTTGGTTAGAGAGATATAAGGAGATCTCGGTTGGTTCTATTTCTATAATCCAATATTTTCACGCAATCCCTATTGCTTTCACCTTCTACAGTATTTTTCATATGTATTGCACCAAGAAAAACTTGTAAGCCAACCCACCTGAAGAGGCACTCATAACTAATTAGCAATTATCCAATTAGTATTTGCCCACTAGTGATCAAATGTTGATGCTTCATGAAATAAGTTGTTACATCACGATGCTTGTAGACGTTGTCCAAGAAGTTCTGCAATTTGATTGGGTTCCGGATTACTTGCACAATCACCCTTAAGACAGAAATAGACAGCACCAGATCATGGCAGGTGCGTGGTGCTGCATACGAGGGCTCTTGCTATATTATTGGAGAGGGCTGGAAGAGCTTCTGTCAGGATAACAGGCTCAAGACAGGCGACCTGTGCACCTTTAACATCATCAAAACCACACTGTGGCATGTCACTATCACACACTGTAAGCACATATATAAATCAGTTTATTTTTAATATGTAGAGATTGTTCACAATAGGTTGAATGTGAGTTAAATACTAAAGTGCATGTTCATTTTGTTTTATGATGCAGCAACATTACCAGATACTTTTAAGCAAAAGAAGTCACCTTGTTCATCCAGTAGGGACCACAAGGCCAACGAGGGTAGTTCAAGTAGTGAAGGAACAAAGAGGCCAAAATCCTCCATGACATCTTTGAGCAAGGTTCCAACATACACAAAATCTGTCTACGACATTGGGCCACCATCTTGGATACGAAAGGAGATGAATTCAACTCAATAACACAGCATCTTGTAAGGATGGTCATTCTCCCGTTGATTCTAGGAAGTTAGGAATAGGGTTAAAGTCATTCAAATTTGAGCATGGATATGAATTGATTGCTGAACCTCATTTTGATTTTTTTTAATTAGTGAGAGCATACATGCGTATGTGGTATGCTATCAAAAAGCGTAGTTCTCAAATCCACATTACAATAATCAGTTGTGTAACTAACGTGATTATTGTGATTATTGCAGTCTTTGGCACAGGCCTTCTGCAATCAGATTGGGTTGCAGGAACGCTGCACGATCACGCTCAAGACCTCAGTCAACAGCAAATCTTGGCAGGTTCGTGGTCAAAGCTGGCAAAAGGATAGTAGTTGTGTTTTTCGGTTGGGATGGAAAAAGTTCTGCAGGGAGAACAATGTGAAGGTAGGTGACGTCTGCACCTTCAATGTCATCAAAACCACGCTGTGGCATGTCGATATCACACGTCGCTAAGCTATGGTTTCTGGCTTGGGCTGTTGAGTACTTGGCTTCAATAACGCCTCTGTAGGGAATATGTTGCCTACTGATGTCCCAGCTAATTGCAGTTACGTGTTTCAAAACACTAGCTTGACTGCATGAAATTAAACACTTTATTTTGTTTCCTATTGATGTCCTATCTACTTGTAGCCTTGTAGGTGGCATTGATGCGCTCCTCCTCTTCATGGAGCTAAATGACTTGTTCCTTTAGGGTTCATTGCGTTTACTATCCCTGTATCTAGCTAGTCCATGAAGGTCTCCTGAGAGGGTCAGTGGCTAACTGAACTCTCCTCGATCGAGTAGAGCCTGAGCATGCGGAGGATGGAGTCCTTGATCATGCCAACTAGCGGGATCCATTCTCGATGGGTGAAGACCCATGTGCAAGCAGCAAATCTAACTATTGGGTGGTTGTAGATTGGACCGTGGATGTCGTGTTCCTCAATCTGTTTGGGGTCTGAGAGAGGGGCGTAATGTGATCTCTGCTAACTAGCTGGGAGAGGCTAGTTTCCTTTCCCTGATTGCAGTGGTATAGATGTTCATGTAGCTGTTTTTTTCGGGGCGTGTCAGTCATTTTTGTAATTATTCTCGCTTTTTTTCATCGTCTAATAAAAACTGCGGCAAAGCTTTTGCCGTCCTTTCTAAAAAAACATACGTGAAGCTTTGCCTATCTTGTGGACAAAGAAGTCTAAGCTCCCGAACAATGGAGAGGAAGCCAAAGCTGATGGACTGGCTCGGAGCGAAGTTGCAGATGGATTTGTTGGTTAAGAAACCCATATGGATCTATTCAGATTGATCTATGAGCAAATCCCATACCTAATGCCCCAACTATCGATAGATATTTTTACCACTGGCTTTGATTTTAGGGCATTTTATGTGTAGCATGTCTAGATGGTAGCACACAAGACAACTAGTTTATTCTGGTTCAGGCAAGGGTGCTCTACGTCCAGTGCATGACGAGTTGTATTGGTTATGTGCTAGGGTGCTAATGAGTAGGGTCTAAAGTAGGATGTCCTTACCCCACCTTATATAGCTCAGGAGTGTAGGGTTACATATGGATATCTGATCAGCTTACAGATTGGTTTCCTACTTTGTTATAGCAAAATCTCGAATGGTAGGTTTATATCTATACCTTGTTACCTTGTGCCCACCCTATGTCTAGAGGTTGGTTATGTCCTCCATGACGATACCCAATGTAATCATCAAGAGCCTCTTGACAATCAACTCCTTTAGGAAGATCACCTAGTCCTCCACCAGGCCATATAGGTCTTGGCAAATTCCAAGATTAACAAGTCTTCGATCTTAAGTTGATCAAACTCCGAGCTAAGATAACAAAGATGCATACTAAGTCACTCACAAGACTCCTATTGACTTGAACTATCATCAGAACCTTTTCTCTAAGTCTTGCAATATGTGTGAAACTATCTAGGGATAGAAAGAGCTCCAAATGAAATGCATGACAAACATATATAGATTAAGGGAGAGGTTACTGAGATAGTGACACAAGATGATCTTTGGTACCTCACTGAGGGGCACCGGGTCATCTGGTGACCCTATTCTTCCTTTTTTTTTAATGGTCACTGCTGAAGATTCCCGAATATTCCTTATTGGGTGATACAATGTGACCACCAAGGTACACAACAAATCATACAATGCACATAATTAAGCAAGTGCAACTTGAACTAGCCATTGCATAGTACGATCATATGATCCGCCATGCCGATTATGGTGCTACCAGATCATATTGTGCACTCTAGCAAGCATGTCCAAGTTGAAATGATTCTTGCACAATGTTATCGGATCAACTGTCAGTCCACATACGATCATTCACCATATCATCCTGTGGGAAATACTACCTAACACACAATATAGCACGTCGTCACTGGATGATCTGGTAGCATTTATCAATTGTTCCAGTGCACTTGAAATTTGAATTTAGGATCTTATGGCACTATATCAAAATTAGTAACAACTTTTGGTGACGTTGTATGTAATGAAAGCATATTGTTAGAGCATATTTAGTAGGATATTTAGTATGACACTATATCAAAATTAGTGTATGTATTGTTACAGTCCACATAAGTCATATCTTGTATGTGATGAAAGCAACAATACCTGAGAGGAAGAACCGATAATTGCAATAAAAAATATTTCTCAACTATACAGCAACTTTTGATCATTTACACAGATGCATCCAATAGAGCATCTCCAAGAACTTGGCAAATGAACTCCCTATTTGAGTTTTTTAACAAAAAGGAAGAAACTTCTAACAACTTGGTAACCCAACTCCTTAAAAATAAGAACTTGCTAAAACTATCCTCCAACTCGTACTTTCCATGCTCGATAAAAACTCTGTATTTGTCCGGGTTCCGCGTTTTCCCCCGTCGCGCCCCCATGCACGTTGATTTGGTGCGAGTTGTTGTGTTCCCAACTCCTACCACCGCCCTGGAAGGTATGCGCCAAGCCACCGTTTGGACTCGCCGGGATGCCACTGGCCATGATCAGCTTAATTTGCTGCAGCTGCGCCTCACTGCCCTCAACCTGTCCCTTGACATGCCTAACCGCAGGGACAACCCTACTCGCCATAGTTGTCTGCGCCAAGCTGGGTTGACGATTCTTTTCTTTTTTGAACAACACACTGAATGTGGAGCAGCGTTTTGATTTATATTGCAACTTAAATTTCTTGTTTTCTGAATATATTTTTGACATATAGTTTTTCAATCTTTTTTGTCATAAAAATATAGATTACAGAGAATCCAAGTTCCTAGATCGACATGGTGAATGGTGAGGATGACAACTGTCTTTCGATGGACTCTTCAGAAGACAAACAATTTAGTGAGCTCGAGGGTGAATTAATTGATTCAGCTTGGTTAAGATCCGGTGAGTGGAACCAATCAGACTAGCTGGCTGGGCAAGGAAGGGCGGTGACGTCTGTTGGGGCAGTTGTCGATGTCCGCTCGCACGAGTCGGAGCAACAGGGATGCTGTGCAGACCTAGAATTGCCGCACAAAACAAAATATGATAACGTAGTCTAGATACGTAGCAAATTCTCTGCATCAAAAGAGTCAAAGTGACTTATAATTTGGAATGGAGGAAATACTTATTTTCTTAACTTGGTAAAGTCATTGATTTAGCAAGTAAATTACACAAACTTCCTGTAGATGCTCTAAGCTTTCATCACATACAAAATTGGTGGAAATGCAAACCAAATAGTCCAGTTCTATTGAAGATAAAACATGGTGTAGCAAACAAAGCTTTGTGCTTGCAAGCTTACAGAAACTCCTATAATTTATTTTTTCCTTTTGGTTAGATGCTATGCCTATGCGTATACCTAAACTTTCTCCTATACTGTCGTGTTTTGGCATGAAAAGTGGTCTCATCCAACGGTTTCCTTCAAGCTAGAAGAGCGACTTGCATACTCCTGAACCATCGCACCAAAGAGTGATGGCCTCCCCATCAACTTGGAGGGTGCATCGAATTCTGCCACAAGACCTGATACAGATAAACACATACACAATGGTTGAACAGAGGCACAAAATCTTAATAAAGGCAATTAGCTCTCCACTTCATTTTCAATTTGGATGGCCTGTATTGCAGCTAGATCTTTTGCTACATCTGTGTGTGATAATCGTGGTACCTGAACCTGTGTAATTACTTTGTAATTTTGTTGCTATGGTAATGAAAAACATCGCAACATGTAACCTAGCAGTCTTCAGAAAATAGGGGAAAGGCAGGATGATCAGTGCAAAGTGCTACCTGCGTCCAACACCAGAACTCGATCGCTGTCCATAACAGTCGGTATCCGATGTGCAATGCTGATGACAGTACATTCGGTGAATTCCTCGCGGATGATCCTCTGGATGGCCGCATCTGTTTGAGAATCAACAGAAGTTGTCGCCTCGTCCATGAAGAGGATCCGGCTGCGTTTCAGTATAACTCGGACGAAGCAGAGGAGCTGCTTCTGCCCTACACTCCAGTTCTCCCCCATGTGGGCGACTGCAAAGAACAAACGATGAGCAAAGAAACATTGTTCATGTTTTGCTAATCGTGCCACAAAAAAGGGGGCCACAACTGAATTGCACTGCAGGTCTAAACTTGTGTGTATTTCAAACTGTATCCGTGAAGCTGTACTTTTAAGTAGCGGGTTTGTAACTTTGTGACACAAAGTAGTGTGTGGAAACCACACGGGGAATAACATTATACAAGTTCTCAAATATGCTTGGTTAATAACATAATTTGACAACTTGAATAAGCTTGAAACTTATAGCACAGTTATCTTTTACTCAAGAAACAGAGCAAACCTAGTGCATCAAGCTTCTCTGGTTTTGAGGCTACTATATCCTTTAGCTAGCAACGCTCGAGGGCCTGCAGAGAAGTAAATTTGGCCAGATCAGGCTTGATAGAAGGGGGAAAAAACAGTTAAGCATCCAAGAGGGAGTTCATCTTGTTAAACAGAGCATAGGTTTAGGTTGTATTTCCTTCCATATCTCAGCCTCGGAATACCACCCTGTTGGGTCTATGTTGCTCCTTACAGTTCCTTCAACAGATCACGAAGCCCCAAAGTGCAGATATTGACACCATCGATGATGATATGGCCTTCTGCCGGCTCCACAATCCTGAATAAAGCCTGCACTAAAGTCGACTTTCCACTGCCCGTCCTTCCCACAACTCCAATTTTTTCTCCACTCTTAATACTCACAGTAATTCCTTTCAAGATTAGTGGTGTGTTTTGACGATACCGAACCTGAAAAGAGTTGTGCTTATTACTCATTCATCTTATCACTTATTAAGGTACTAGAACGTGATACAGATAAAAAGTATTGACCTTCAGATCTTTCACATCGATATCTCCTCGGCTGGGCCAATCTGGTGAGGGAAGACAGTCGGCAACTTCCCATGCTGCCTCAGAAGGGAGAGTACTGTACTGATGCACTCTCTCTATGGCTACCATATCATTTTCGATCATACAGCTTATGGAAATTGTGTAGTACACCAAGGAATTGAGAGAAAGACCATAAGAAAGGGACATGCCGACAAATTCTGCATCAGAATTGTGTTTTTTTAAGTTTCGCAAAGGATCAAAATGGGAACTTAGAGTGATATATATCTTTCAATAGAATTTGTCAGTAATCCTTTTTGAGTATTCAGCTTTAGACATAAAATGATGCAACAGAAAACTTTTTAAGACTTGACATGCTTTCAAAAAACTATTAATGCTTCATTGCTGATAGAAACATCTACAGAGTATTGCACTCAAGGTTTGAATATTCAGACAATAAGGACAATAAGCCATGCTATCAAGTTCACCCCATAAAAACAATTCATTCCTACTTAGCAATTCATTTATTTCTAGTATATTATATTATTCCCAAATGAGAACATCCAATATAACTCGTTTTAGGGGAAAAAAAGGCAAGAACTCTTATTAGAACAATATGACAGGCACAATAACTAGAAATTCTAACATGACTTTCATGACTTGAAAATTAGCATGGGTATCAATTGATTCAATATACATACTAAATGGGTATCAACTGATTCAATTCTACGCTACCTCATGATACAAAGTTTTATGAATATGCAACTAATTCAGATTAGAATATTACCTTTCTTGATGAAATTGCTAGGCAAGCTAATCATGAGAAAAGCAGTTATGGATAAAATAAGTGTGCCAATTAGCTCCAGGCGAAATCCAAGCCACTCATTAGCTGCATAATTATGAAATGACATACGCAAATTCGAATTGATCCTGTCCAGGTTTGTCTGGTAGAACTCATCCTCCTTTCTGAAACACCTTACAGTTGGAGCACCCAAAAAGGTTTCTGTAAAGTGATCAATAATTGGCGCCCTTGTTACTCCTTGAAGACGAGTAAGCTCTTGAGATGTCGCAATATAACGATTCTGAAAAACAGGATGAAAGGAAAGAAATTCATTTTATTATTGATTCAATTATGAGTGTTGTATTTATGTTAAGTAGTATTAACAGAAGTCCTCTGGGATGCATTGTGGTAGTTCGATCACATCATACCCGGTACCAGATGTTCAAAAGCAGTAGAGGAAGTACTGCAATTACTGACGGCCATGCAACTTGGCAAGTAATAGCTATGTTGGTAACCACTGAAATGCACATTGATGTGGCAAAACCAACATAGAACACAAGGTTAGTATCAATCTTAGATTGGTCCGATGATTCCTGTGAATGTCAAAACCACAAAAATATTAACATTACTTTTCAAGGAGTGATTATGTACATAAGGTACAACAAATAGAAGCTATGTCTAGTTGGCTTTATAGCACATACCCGGCTTAGGATCCTTCCTGAAGGAGTGGTGTCAAAAAATGACATTGGTGCTCGTAGAATGCTGTCAAACATCTTGTTGAAAAAGGCCTGTGCTGATTGGAGCCCCAAGAATGTCACAATAAAAGTGGCAATCATTTCCAATATAATTGTGGTAGCAACTATCGAAACGTAAACACCAAGAAATATGGAAGTGTCAAATACAGGGCCTCCTGATGTCTCATATGATAACCAGTAGTTACTAGCCATACTGGAGCCCTCTGACAGCAGTGACACAGCTAAAATGATCACAACTCCCCACCATCCCCAGGCCTCTGTCATATATAGCTTGTACACACGCCAGCTTACTCGGCCACTCTCCTTTTCCTCTTCCTGGATCAGCTTAGAAGAACCTGCTTCTTTGTTTGTTGCAGTGCCAACTTTTTTTTTCTCGAATACGCAAGAGCATTGCGTATCATTTGTATTAAGAAGGAAGAGAGTTTAAATTACAAATGGCCTACGCCGGCCCGGCAATAGAAGCTTAAAGGGGATTACATAGGCGTTAAGAACTATCTGCGGACACAGTTTGTCACCGTGTTCTATCCTGCTCCTGGCATCACGATCGCCGGCCTAATGTCAGCCACGGGCGTCCGCACGTTGTCTTGGCGCGCTCTGGAGTTCAGACCCCATACGTTCCACGATAAAATGGAGATGTTATCCATTGATGTATACGACGTTCGGCAAACGGTGATCAAGGCCAGTTGACCAGGACCGTGGCCCGGCGGACTAGTCGACCAGCTCGTGTTTTTGTTGCTGGGAATAGTTCGTCCAGGGCAGCTACTTGTGAAGTTGTGAGGTTCCCTGATAGAATGGCATCATAGGCCCGCTTGGCCCCTGGTGATGGTGGCGCCGTGTTCTGCAGAATCCCCATTTTCCTCATGAGAAGCACTTCCCCGCGCTTGGATGTTGGGACGTGCGCCAGCTGCTGCGAGGCGATCCGGCTGCTACGTAACGGCATGGCCCTCTTTTTCGTCGGGGCTTGCTGGGCTGGCGGAGTGTTGAGCAGTGGTGATCTGGTGTTTTGTATCACCTCATCAGCGAAGCATGCCAGCCGTCGAGCGGCTTCATTCAGCGACGGGGTGGCTTCGCTGGCCGTGGCGCACAAGTTTGTGGCGGTGGCGTCCGGAGCAGAGGTATCGTCTAATGTTAACATGGGTTGTGTTGCCGATGGCGAAACTGCCGGCGGTGTGGCAGTCGGCGGGGTGACAAGCGCCCCGGTCCCGACAGCTGCTGTGTGGCCCAGGGGCTTACAGGTTGCAACCACATTGGTCGCCACATGGTCACCACCTGCGTTGTCCGTAGGGACGGTGTGAGGGTTGGTCACTTCAGTGGTGCCTGCCTCTATGGCGCTCGTTGGGTTGTCGACTTGCATGACTGTTGGCGTTGTGGGGTCACTGAGGAGTCTTGCCTCGAGGATCATTGGATCCGAGGCCGACTCGACTCCAGTGCACTGGCCGTCATTTAGCATGTGGCCAAATTCGAATGGGAGCGGGGCCCCTAGTTCAGCCGTCGTGGAAGGCTCCGATAGGTCCTTCTCCTGCCTAGGAACGGTCTGGTCGCAAAAGCAGGATTCGCCTGCATCCTGCTGCAGCTTTGGCTTTTGCTTTTGCTTTGTGCAGGTGTACTCAGAATGTTGGCAGGCGTGGAGTTGCCGGGTGACGTCGTCCCGTGGGCACCTTCTTGCAACATGCAGTGCCTTCATGGCACCAACGGCGCCGCCGCCGCTCTTGCGGGTCCCAACCTCGCCGTCAACGACACCCCTATGGCACCGGAATCCCTGGAGCCGAGGACCGGTTCCACGCTGGAAGTGGTGGCGATCTGGATTGCCGTCTTGGCCACTGTCGCCGTTGTCGGTGGTTGGCGCTGGTGGTGGTGGCGAGAGGTCGGCAGGAACGAAGTCGGCGATGCTGCGAATGTGGATAGTTACCCGGTACATAAGGACGTTCTTGTGACGCAGGGATGGCTGCAACCTGCCGAAGAGCAGCTGCTCGCCGGCGGTCACGAAGCTCTCGTTCTCGGCGACATGCAGCCAGACAACCTTTGGGATGGCCCTCGGGTCACTTGTCCAAGCAGTAAGCTTGAACACGGAGAGGTCTGCCTTGGACACCGATGATGGGTCGACCTGGTGCACCCAACAGCTGGGGGCGAGGATCTTTGCCGCGGTGTCTTCCCCCCAGGCATGAGGCAGAATGCCTTCGAGCTCCAACGTCGCCCTGAACTTCATGGAAGCAGCCTCAGCGTGAGCCAGGCGAGTCCAGGGGCGGAGCACCAGGCTGGTTCCTGCTGCTGGAACTGTGGACGCAGCAAGCATGGTGTCACGGACCTCTCTGCTCCGACACTTAACCAAGAAGTTCTCAGGGAAGAACGGAACCACCGTAAAGGAGCCATCTTGGATGCCGTCGATGCCTGCTAAGGCGCGAGTGGCGTCTGCGATGTCGACGGTGGCCGTGGAATCTGCCACCAACGCCGTGTTGCAGTGCCAACTGATTCACCATTTTCATCATTGGATTTCGATGCCAAAGATGGGGCATCTACAGATCCAGTGGAAGCCTGAGAGCTCTCTGTGTTCTGAACATGAAAACCTTGTGCCCCTGCTGTCTCCATTGAACTACGATGAGCAGCAACAAGATCCGAAAATTCTGAGCATGATGCTAGTAACTCACGATAGATCCCTGACTAGATGACTAACCCATCATTCATTACCTGCATGTTGACACAAAAGTTAATGTAATGTAATTTTCTGTAGTTCTCAACAAAATAAGCATGGTATCATCGGTGTAATATCATTTTACAGCATATATTCACAGCAAAAGCAAACTGAAGCTAGACTTGAATTAAAATGTATCTATATTTCCATATAACCATGGATGTGAATATTACTGTTTCTTTCCATACATCAAGAACGAAAACATTGCTATTAACTATAGTCACCGCACAGTATTGCTAAACTTAAGTGCTAGAGTTGTGAGAATCCATTGCTAGGCTAACCCTAGAAGGGTAGCAATATATATTAGTCATACATGGGCCTCATGGGCCTAATATACTCATACTCTCATACTCCAACACCCCTCTCAGCCTTCTAACTACCGGCTTACTGACCGGACATGAAAAGAAGCACACACACGAGCCCCCACACACGCACACAACTAGCCACCAATGATGTTGAGGCGGAGCGAAACTCGTGAAGGTCGATGACGGGAGGCCCTTGGTGAAGATGTCGGCAAACTGGGAGGTGGTCGGGACGTGGAGGACCCGAACATCGCCGATGGCAACCCGATCACGGACAAAGTGTAGGTCGATCTCCACATGCTTGGTCCGTTGGTGCTGCACGGGGTTGGTGGAGAGGTACACCGTGACCGACGTTGTTGCAAAGAGACCAGCCGTGCTCCAGGAGAGGGGGCAGGGAGCTCGGCAAGGAGCTGCGAGCCGCCTCAGCCACGCCAAGTTAGCGACAGCTCGGTACTCCGCCTCGCATCGGATCGGGAGACCCCGGTGGCGCTTGGACGACGTGACACCAGGTTGCCACACAAAGATAGCGGAGGTAGAGCGCCGAGTGTCCGGACACCCCCCATCCAAGGCGTCGGTGTAGACAACGAGCCTTCCGTGGAGGAAGACCACTCCAGAATCGGCCGCGGGAGGTACCGCTTGAGCGCAGTGAGGTGAGGCTCGGGATCATGCATGTGAAGGCATATCTGCCTGACCGCATAGGTGATGTCCGCCCCGGTGAAGGTGAGGTCTCAAGGGCACCTGCAAGACTCCTGGCCGGGGGTGCCACGGGGTTCCCACGGCCTCGGCGGCTTGCCCTCGTGTGTCAACTGAGTAGAGCAGGGCTTGCGCTTAGTCATCCCAAAGATGCTCCAGATATCAAGAGTGTAACGCCACGGTGAAGGAGAAGGCCGGTGGGGCGAGGCTCAACAAAGGACCGCGGGAAGTGGTGGAGCACACCAAGATCCTTCATAGCAAACTCCTCACCGATGACACGGCCGAGTAAGGACGGACTTGAGGTCGGGAGGACAATATCATCAACGAGAGCAGCGAGAAGGGCCTCACCCATGATGATAGATAAACAGGGACGATGACTTGGCCTCCACAAACCCCAAAGGTCGGCGAGGAAAGCAAGAAACCGAGAGTACCACGCCTGGGGGCCTGCTTGAGGCCGTAGAGAGACTTGTTGAGCCGGCAGACCATGTCCGGACGAGAAGAGTCAACAAACCCCGCTGGCTGGCTGTAGTATACTGTCTCGGTGAGAGTCCCGTGGAGAAAAGCATTCTTAACGTCCAGTGATGCACGGGCCAAGAGCGATCGAGAGCCGGGAGAGCATCAGTGCGTGACGGTGGCCGGCTTCACCACGGATCGAAAGTCTCATCATAATCGACCTGTATACCGAGTGAAACCCCGAGAACCCAAATGAGCCTTGTACCTCTCAAGGGTACCATCACCCCACCGCTTGTGTGTCCGCATCCACTTGCCGCGACGACGTTGGATCCGGTGGACGGGCACCGATCCCATGTCCGGTTGATGAGGAGAGTTGCGTACTGCAATGAGGGTCCGGCAAAGGCGTCGCGAACGGAAGAGGGTATAGGAGAGATCTGCGGTCGCCGGGCATCGAGAGCTCGGGGCCGCAGGGTACGCCCACGTGTCGCGTCACCATAGGGTGAACATGCTGCGGGGTGTCGCGAAGGAGTGGCGGGGTGGTACACCGCGATCACGACACGGCAGCTTTTGAGGCGGCAAGCGGGCGGTGTAGGGTCGCCGACGGAGAAGGGGCCACCGGTGGTGTAGGCGTCACCGAGGAGGGGGCCCGGTGGTACCGGAGGCAGGTGCTGCCTGCACATGGCGCTGGTAGACGTGCACCGGCTGGGCGAAACGCGCAGGAGGTGCGACAGCGGCGCCCCCTGACCAGCGCGGACGAGGGGCAGTGCAGCTCGAGGGCGACGCCTCCGGACCCGTGCAGGGCGCAGGCCAGGGGCGTCACTGGTGGGTGGCGAGCGGGGGCACGGGCCCGGCGAGGGGCACGGGGAAGCAGTACCTGCAGGAGACAGCGGTAAAAGTGGCTGGACCACCGTGTCAGTGGGAAACAAAGAGAAGGTGTCAGGATCGGGGGTGGGAGGTGGTGTGGTGGTGGTGGAGAAGGGGAAGACAGACTCATCAAACACCACATGGCGAGAGACCCCGACGGGAGGTGAGGTCAAAGCACCGGCACTCCGATCTGGGAGTACCCAAGGAAGACACACAGAGCGGAGCGGGGAGCCAGCCTTCGGTGTGGCAGTGGTGTTAGGGTAACATGCACACCAAGACACGAAGGTGGTCATACCGAGGAGGGGTACCAAGAGAGCGTGGTGTGGTGTGGGAGCAGGGTGCAATGGAAGGTAGGCGGTTAAGGAGATAGGTGGAGGTGTGCGACGACAGCGCGGCAGAAGCGACGCTGGAGCGAAGGGGTGCGATGGTGTCATTCGTGGTGCTGCCAATCATGCGCGCCGGCCTTGCCGCTTTGGGAGGAGGTATACTGCAAGACATGCGCAATGGACACCTGATTCAACCATTGTCACACACATTGATGGTAAGGCGAACTGAGTAGACACAAAGAAAAGGAGAATGAAGGTATCCGACTTTGCACAGATCCAGAATAATGCGAAAATCCAACCACCACAAGATAGCCGTAAATGCTGATGACAGAGATGTCCATAGGTCGCAGCAGTACAAGATCAAACACATGCGTAGTATGTGAAGAAGAAGAACAAAAGGGAGACGAACATGACGGCCTCAAATCTGCTCATCGTGAGCCCGAGTACAACCAATGTCGGAATCGCCTAAGTGCTGCTGAGCATCACGCCCAGATGGCCGAGGCGACGGTGCAAGTGGTGGAGGAAGGAGTAGTAGACAAGATCATCGAAAACGTTGGGAAGCCAAATCTTTACAAGCATGAGTGCTAGTAACTCACGATAGAGGGTGCAACAAGAATGTCAGAAGACGAAGGAACCATGAGTGCTTCAACCCACGAATTCACGAACCATTCCGACCATGATGACACGAAGGATGAGAGGAAGAAGGAGGGTAAATAGAGGAGAGTATACCGTGGTCCTGGTAGTGTGGTAAGTGGCACCTGAGTCGGCGATCCAATGGACATGGTGTCAAGGATCTGCCAAGGTCAAAGGTCGGGAGGTGTCACCCATGAAGATCTGCCGGAGGTGACGCAGACGGGAGTGAAACTCGGAGGAGCTCAATGAGCAAGGCATGGTATCAGGCTCTCCGTAATATTGTGGAAAGAGGGCATTTTCGCGGGCGACAGCCCCCGGGCCCCCACGTCCTCCTCCTATTCACACGCTTCGCCGCCGGCCGGGGAGGAGAACCAAAAGCGAACGGCTGAAGCTAGACTTGAATTAAAATGACAAGGTCGCCACGGACTATATTTCCATCCGGAGGTGGGCGAACATCATGGAGGACGTTGAGGACCGTAACGCGAATCGCCGAGGGAGTCCGCCACATGCGCCGCAGTAACCAAACGGAGAGGTCACCGGACGACGAAGCGCGGAAGTCATTGATAGCGCACCAAGCCCGCGAAACATCAGCAGAGTTGGCGACGAGGTCGCGGAGGTCCAAGGAGATCGTAGGACGACGCTGCAAGTCACCACGATGGGTTCTGGGTCAGACCGAGGCGCTAAACTAGGACCAGGTCCCTCCAAGCGTAGAGGGCGACTTCGAGGACGACCGGACGAGGAGTCTGATGAACCCCGGAAGCCGAGCCACGTGTAGCCAGATGATACTAAACTCGTTGAGCCTTTCATCAGGAGCTATGTAACTATTGGGCATTTCAAAAAAAAGGCTCTTGTTCTCCTCACAAGGGGAGGCCAGTATCCACGTTTTGTGAGAAGTCCAATTGGCTGAAAAAGACGATCAAAAGGAGGGGTTGACCTCAGGGTGGGGGAGGAGGGAGGCGGACCGCACTCCATGGCATGGCTTTTTAATTAGTCCGATAGGATTGTGAGAATCCATTGCTACTAACCCTAGAAGGTCTCATACATGGACCTCAGGGCGAGCCATACTATCATACTCCAACATTAAGCTTACCTGATGAAGGAAGAATGTAGTACTAAACTGAGTAACTATGGGCACCTTACTAATTGGTGAATCACAAGCAAGCACACAACATAATACTAATATGTGTTCACCAAACTGTAATGTGGATAGTTCAAAAAAAAACTTACTATTATAGTATCCACGTTTTGCAAGAAGTCCACTTGGTGAGTCACAAGCAACACGGTCTTATTCTTGAGTATGCCCTTCAGACATTCCTGCAGAACAAGCCTAGTTTTAGAGTACAGCTTAAGAACGGTAATAAAGCACTGGCCATACTTGGACTTGTTTGGAAGAACTTTTCTTTTTAACAACAAAAGTAACAAAAATAGCAAATAGGACATGAGTCCACCTAACTATGAACAGATTACGTACCATCATGGTTCTGCATAAACTATTCATGCTAGAAGAATTATATAGAATAGCATGCAAGGTTCTTTTCTGGAAAGTGAGTGCACTTTGTTTTAAACAAAAAAAACTGAGTAAAAGAATGCAAGTCACGGAGCAATTGAGCATTTCCCCATGACAAATTGTGATGTGTCACATATGAGGCATGGTGAATATTTATAACACTACAAGCGTAAAGGTTTTTTTTTCTCAAACACAACAACCAAAGATATCAAAAAGACCAAACGCAAGCAGAATCAGAGAGCTTATTGATAGTTTAAAATGAAACAAAAGAGATTAGGATTCACCATGAAAATAGCTGATCCAGTATGAGCATCAACTGCACTAAATATGTCATCGAGAAGATATATATCACAGTCTTGATAAACTGCTCTCGCAAGCTGGATGCGCTGTTTCTGGCCTCCACTGAGATTGATCCCTCGCTCTCCTATTTCAGTCTGGTCACCAAACTCCATCATTTCCAAATCCTTTTCCAGGCAGCAAGCATTTATGATTTCTGAATATCTCTATGGATGCATTGGTTTTCCAAATAAAATGTTCTCTTGAATGGTTCCATTTCGGATCCAAGAGGTCTGAGCAACATATGCTGTGCTTCCACATATGCTAACCTATATCAAAGAGAAAAATGGAGATGAGAACGAAGTAAAATGATCCGAAAAAACATATTGGCTTCAAATAATATGCTTAAAACGCAAACTTTTGTTCATTTAATCCCAAAAACAAAATGAAACTTCAAGTGTGAATGTTGGAATTTCATGATGCAAACTCTATGGAATGGTGCTATAAACCAGAAGCAACGAAAAAGACAAGTGCGTAAAACTAGATTGGGACCGAAATATATACCAATGAAGTCAGGTGTCCAGACACTCACCGTGCCAGAGAGCTTGTGCATCTCCCCCATGATGCAGGACAGCAGCGACGACTTGCCGGAGCCCACTGTCCCGACCACCGCCGTAATCTCACCCCTCCTCACCTCCACGTCAATGCCCCTCAGCACTGTCACCAACTCCGCCCCATTTCCTTGGCCATTCTCTGCCACATCATGGTGGGGCCTCCTGTTGTTGTTGCCCTTCATCTCCTCGTCCGCTGGCACATCCCAAGCGAACACCCCGCCTTGCACCTTGACGGCCACTGTGTCCTCAGTGCCGCCACCCTCGATGCGTTCCACGGCCGCAGTGTCGATCTCGGCATCCGTCAGGAATTTGTTCAGCCTATCCAGCGACACAAACGCCTGCATGGACATGACAATCGTCTGCGGGAAGTTCTGTATGGGGCCTTCCAGCATGCCGAAGAACGCCGTGGCCGTGAACTCCTTGCCGGCGTCGAGCTGCCCACCGGAGGCGAGGTAGGTCCCGAACACGAGCTCCGTCATGGCGAGCGGACCGCTCGAGAACACCACCGTGTTGGCGCACATGAAGAGCATGATCTTGGCCAGACACCCGAGCTCCTCCCGCCGGATCTCGCGAAACCTTGCCGCCGAAGGTGTCCTCCCACGCCTGCAGCTTGATGACACGCATGTTACTGAGCATCTCGGTGATGGCCTTTACGCGGCTGTCGCGGACGCCAAGGAACTTGAGCTGATACGCCAGGTTGAGCTTGTTCGCGAAGGTGGTGACCACGGTCACCGCGGTGATCACGGCGAGCGTCATGAGCACGGCGGGGCCGAGGTAGGCGTAGAGGAGGAGCAACGCCACCACTACCTGCAGCGGCATCAGCCACAGACCGTGGCCCATGCATGGCGTAGGACACGATCCCAGGGTCGACCTGCGTGTAGTTGACGATGGAGCCAGCGCCGTGCGCTCGGCGGGCACCGGCGGTGAGGCGCAGCGACTTGCGGTACAGCGCCGTCTGCAGAGCGCCGCGGATGCGCATGCCCAGAAGCTGTCCCTGGAAGCTGTAATGGTGTGAGGCCAGCGTCTGGACGGCCTTTCCGGCGAGCAGGATGAGAACGAGCCAGAGGCCCTCCCACGGTGTCCCGCCGCGGCGGATGAACTCGACGAAGCGGTCGATGAGCGACGGGCCGACGTACATGGCACCCAGGCGCGCGAGGCCAAGAAATGCAGCCAGCACGAGATGCGGCCAGAAAGATAGCCAGAGTGCCACGCCCACCGGGTGCCGAGACGCCGGCGACGCCGGCCAATTGGACATGAACAGCGCGTGCGCCGCCTCGGCGCGGTGGCCGGCAGAGACCGGGGGCACGTCTTCGGCTTTGAGCGACTCTGCTGCGTAGCCCTTGTTGATGAGGGAGTTGATCCAGCTGAAGGTCGCGCGCGAGAGGCACGAAGCGGCGGCGTACGGCGAGGAGGGAGGATCCTCCGGGCCGGCGTGCTCTGGTTCACCTTCTTCTTGTGCCTGGGTGCCATGGCCGGTGAACCCAGTGACCGCTATGTACGCCAGAGGCAGCGAGACGAGCAGACCAGCGAAGGCGAGAATGTCATCGGGGAAGAGCAGCGAGCCGACCGCGCCGCGGACCACCTGCGAGGCAGAGAAGAGTGCGGCGCCGAGGGCAGTGGCGAGCCAGAACACGCGGAGATGCGCCTCCGGGGGAGCAGCTCCTGCTCTCCGCGAAGAGGCGACGACGGTCCAGGCAGCCACGCCGTGCGCGAGGGCGAGGAGGACGGCGGACGCCGCCGCGAAGACCGCGGATGCCCCGAGCGCGAGCACGTGGCGGCGGGAGAGCGGCGGCGAAGGGTGATGGCTCGGCTTCTGCAGCAGCGCCTCGCGTTCGGGAGTGGGAGCAGGAGCAGCCGCGGGCGCCGCCGGGTGTCCCTGACCCCTGCGAAGGCGGCGTCGGGCGAGGTGGACGAGGCAGGCGGCGAGGAGCAAGCGCTGCGGGCACGGGGAGAGGAAGAGGAACGCCAGCAAGTCGGCGAAGGAGCCGGGGCCCGGCGGCGGCGCGGTGCACGCCTTGGTGGCGAGCCACCACGGGAGCGCCATCCCCGTGTGCCTGCTGCGGCGTTGGCTGTGACTGCGAGTACGAGGAGCTCGTTGTCGTTGGGGATGAGGGGGGTCCGTTCCATCGGGATTGAGAGTCGGTTCACATACGAAAGTTCGCCGCGTTTTCATATATATAACCTGTTCGGGAGGCCGTATCTTTACCGTGGATTATTTACTGCTGGTTGGTTTAGTGTGAGAGAAAAACACTGTTTCAGCTGAAAATTTACGATCGTTTACGAGCAAACGAGTACGAAAGCTGCAATCTAGTAGTCCTGTTTTTTTAAGATAAGATTCTAATGAAATGACATTCTTGCATGGATGCCGCTTTCTCCGAGGTGTAGCCTTTTTTTTTTTTACAAGGTTCTATAAAATCGCATATGTCATGTTCGGCAAGGATCAACGGTGTGTTCCTTGTCTTATTTTCAAAAGGTCCATGCGTTGCTATCCCACTCCTGATAATTTTTGGTTTTGAGATGAAACTTGCTAGTAGTTTTTACTGAATTAGAATAAAAATATATTGTGGCAAGTTTGGGAGTGGAGTTTTTTCTTTTATACACTCTAGGATGGAAGTTTCCATCAGCTAGAGCTGTTATAGGTTTGATTATCCTAAGAACTACATTTAAGAAAATAGTGCAGGAGAATGAGATTGGGAATGCAAATGAAACACGTACGGCCCAACCCATGGACAAGTAGGATATATATATTCTATGACACCAAAGCAGATTCTTTGATACTACTGCTCAACAATGGAGGACCGGGAGGCGGTCAATGTTAGAGTGAACTTAAAAAAAAAATCCAGCTTCTTGCCTTTGAAGTGGATGTGGGTGGATCTCTATTCTCAAAAGTCCATCTCAGACATGGAAATAGATAGAGTGGAACAAATAGATTTTAGCTTGTAAACGGCGCGGGAAAGGAGAAGTCATGACTACAAGCCCTATAGATCCAAACACCATAGCATCTTCATTTATAACTTCATCTAAACACAAATCGGATATAAGTATATCTAAGTTTGTCTCAAATCAAAATTTTCCCCTTTAGCTATCAGTATATAAAGTTTTATGTAGACTGTGAACACATGCATGATTGGTGTTACTAGATTTACTGAAACTATTTTCATAGTGTATAATTCTTTTCATTAATATATAATACTTTTATAGACATTACTAGTAAAAAATGTTATATTGAAGACGTGTTGATTGTAATTAATTAATATTAGGAAAAAGTCTACTTAACCCCTCGGGCTGTAGCAAACCCACCGATACCGTAGCAAACCCACTGTTATTGTAGCAAAACCGCTGTCAAAAACCACCCCGGGGGGTAAAATAGACGGTTTTGGAAAGTTCAGGGGGTAAAACAGACGGTTTCATAGTTGGGGAGGTGAAGTAGACCATGTATGAAAGGTGAGGGGGTTAAGTAGACTTTTTCCATTAATATTAGGGAAGAATCCCGTGTGTTACTGTGGGAATTGCAAGAGAAAATTTGGTATGATGTAAATAAAGTTAGTTTTCGTCTACTGCACATGTACCGATTACTATGAATGTTACCACTATTGGCATTTTTGTGAAAGAGTTTGCACCAATTACTATTGTCCTAATTGTTTTCAAATTTCTTCATCTATACCTCAATATCTCTTGCCACAATCGCGTGACTGTAAAATTCACGGAGAAAAGCAAAATGATGCCTAGGTCAATTTGAATGCTGCATTCCTCTTGAGCAGATCATAGTTGACATGTCTACATTACTTTTCAATTCTTTATTGCACCTTTTCCATTAACAGTCAGATAAAAGGGAAAATGAACAATACAAATTAGTTTAATAAAGATCAAAACCTTTTGATCTCAATTGTACACTTTTTTTCTATGGTAATCTTTTTTCTAGCTCACATCCGTGAACTTATTCATGGTCCCCGGGCCATTGATGTAGATTAAAGAAAATTTGCAACCAATGAAAGGAAAAATAGCACAGCTGTACGTACCTGCTATATGGTTGCAGTAAAAAGAGGGAGGATTCATGAGAGTTCCAAATTGAGAGATATTGCACAATGTCAGCTGTAATCGTAGGACTTCTCTTACTGCCGTTTAGATCCTTTCATTGAGAGGAATTAAAATCTATACTTAATAAATTAAGCTATTTGGCTTGGAATTTAATATTTCCCCACTTTTCAAAGTTCACATACAAGCCTATCTTAAATTCACATGGTGGGAGATGAAAATTTGATTCTATAGATGACCATTCTATGTTTCTACTTTACATAGCACACTTTCCAACTTGCTCCTCCACAGTAGAAATGCAACACATAAGTATATCTCGTATAGCCAATAATAATATACAAATATAATCCATATACAACCATGTTAGCTTAATTAATATGTGTCTAAATTATGATTATTAAAATGAATTCAATTTTAAGGATCCAAACGGGGCCTTAGGGAAATGATGAAAAGTCATCGTGTTGTGAGTACCTTGATAGTTGGATGACTAATCCATTTATATAAAATGACATAATTATTGGTGCCAATGAGAAAAATCAAATATGATATAAAACACCGAGAAATAAAAAAAATAAAGTTATTGCTGGCAGATGTGGCCTGTATAGACCTGAGTAAGAAGTGCATTCTTTCTCCTTCCAAATACTTCTGACAATGCACTTTAGACTATAAATATGAATTTGCAGCACAAGTATAAATTTATAGTTAAGACTGATATCTCAAGAGATACTAAAAAAAGAACGCAAATCTAAGAACTAAAGAAATATATTTGTAACTTAAACTAAGAACTCAATCAAACATCTCCGTCTTCTAATAATTATTTTAAGAAAAAAGATCTTTTTACGTAGTACAGCGCAGGCACTTATAACATAAGCACACTTGTCCCACAGCGGATCGAGGCCCGTTAACATCTCTATAAGCACACTCTTCCCACAGCGGATCGAGGCCCGAAGCTCAAATGTATTCACAGCCGTAGTGGTCCTCTGTAGCGAACTCAAGATTGCTGGGCCTGGCTGGACCTCGTAATCGTTACTCCACAGAGTTGCTGCTTCGAGCCCAGGCCCAGCAAACGTGTCCGCTAAAAAATTCATACAACCAGGGAAAAGGGTGAAAGAACCAAGGAAGGAAGGTACTGGGCAGGCTGCTGCTCCGCTGGATCGCTGCTATCCTCAGTGTGCTCTCTCTCTTTAGCCCCGTTTGTAGCGCTCCCGGACAGGCTCCGGGGATGTTTCGCGACTCTTCCTACCAAACGGATACCAAGAGAACAGCTTTCTTGGAGAAGTCCCATGATTTGCGCTAAGAGGGAGTGAAGATGAGAGATGGAGCCGAAAAAACTAGCTTCCCTCGGCTCCTGCTCAGATGCGCGGGCCCTGGGCGAGTTTGCCCCTCAGCGTGCGCGGGGAAGACGGGGCATTGTCGCGCGATGCAGCCACCGGCCATCGAGAAGGATCCGCCGGGCTGGGCTGCGTGGGCACGGTTGTCCGGGGGGCCGCGACCGTCTAGAGGCACGCCGGCCACGCGCTCGCTTGGGTGTCAGAGCGACGACGAGGTGGAGGTGTGGAGCACGACCGCGCGGCGAGGAGGAAAGGGGCGCGGTGGCCGGCGCAACTTGGGGAGGAGGAGGAGGAGGAAGGGGCGCCGGCAGAGACCAGCCGAGCCGTGGCGCACTTCCTAGCGGCGGCGATGGAGATTGGGAAGGAGAGTGCGTCTGCGTGATGAGGAGATAAGGTTGAAGGAGATGTGGTCATGCAGATACGGTGGGACTGCGTATGGCTACGACGGTGTGGGGACCAGATAACGTTGAAAAAAAAAAGAAAAAAGAAGAAAAAAAAAGAGAGGTATTATGAACATTTCGTCATTTTAGACTACAGGCGAAGCTATTTTGTCGAATGATCTTAAAAAAAAACTGATTCAGCTCAAATCTGCTCCGCAAAGCCATAATGCTGTTTTGGTTGAACCAAACGGGCCCTTTCTCTCCCCACGTCCCTCTCCTCTCCTCTCCTCTCCCGTGCTCTCTTCTTCTCGCCCATTCCAGCTCCCGCCGCGCCGGTGGACCGCGCACCCCAGCGGCGCCAGGCGTCCACGGGATGGTGGTGCTGGTGGCTACTGCCGCTCGGTGGCCCGGGGGAGGCACGGCAGCCCGCGCGCGTCCGCCGGCTGCGAGGGCGAGGGGTCCCCGCCGCGTCGCCGCCGAGCCCGAGCAGAAGGCGGCGGCCACGGTCAGGTTTGGTACGCGCCATTGGAAGCAAAATCAGTAGCTGTCGCGACCTTTCTTAGATGTTTCGTTTGCTTCGTTTCACCTGTGCACTAGATCACCGGCTTTCCTTCATGTCGCTGGACCTCCATTATGCCTGACAGACACGACCTTAACCAATTCGAATTGCATCTAGATAGACCAATTCGAGGCTCAGATACCGCGAGAATTAGGAACACTATGGCAGCAAGTTATGGATATTGAACACTAGTTTTGCAGTTTCTTTCCTACTTCTTGATGTATACATTTGGTGAAAACATCCTTTTTGGAGCCATAACAGTAAGACCCTATTAAATTTGCTAAGAGTTTATACATAAGTCACTAAGTTCTGGAGAACGATATATGAACCACAAACTAGCCCTGAGATCTGTAACACTACGTAGACCATCTTTTACTGACTCAAAGGGCTCCCATAATCTTTTAGATGCTATTTATGTCTTGCCTCAAGCATTGCCATTTGATTAACTACTTACCTTGTTATTTGACATTAAAATGTAGGTTGTTATCATTGATGAAACCAATAAGGCATGACATCAGGGCCCAAATGTCCAATGTAAATGTTGGTGCTGGGAGTTATGGAGAAGATGAAGCAAATAGCCATGGAGAACTTTTGGATACCTCTTCTACCGGAGACCCCAACAAATTGTTAGTGTTCACCCTCCCCTTGTTTTCTCTCCATTTCCATGCAACCTCCTGTACACTGAACTTATATCCTTGACAATGCATCGCAGAGCAAAACAACTTTCAGGATCTCATTACCTGCAATCCATTGGTGCCGTGCTACTTCTGTGTGCCCTGGCAACTAGTTTTTTCGTTTTTTTTAAAGGACAACCATCTGCAGTTGTAGCTATGCTGGCAAAATCAGGTTTCACAGCAGCATTTACACTGATTTTTGTATCTGAGATTGGAGATAAGGTATAAATTTTATTTCAATTGGCCTTTTCCCCTTCTCATCTTGAACTTCCAGATACGCTGCAAGATGGCTCTTCACCTTCTTTACAGTCACATAAGAAATACTGCACTTTGTAGTGTTATTGAAACATTCACAACATACTTGGAGTCAGTAAATTTACTGAGCAGACTGAAGTTTTGAGGTTTTCACATTCTTTTGAGTTCAGCTATTGGTATATATTATAGAGTTCACCAATATGTTAATGTTCTCATCATTCTTTGTGGTGTTTCATTTTCATCCTCATTCTCCATCCCCATCTTTGAGATTTTGCTTCATAAATGGTACAACCTTGGTTTGTAAAGTACATGAAGCTTAGCTGTTAGCAGCATGCAGTTTCATCTATCGTTGTGATCATAACTTACTATATTTAAAGAGTTGAGGACTTTGCATTACCTCTGTAGTGAATTGCTATTGTTTAGTTTCAACTATACATTTATTGGAGTTCTTAATTTTTTGTCGTTTGGTTGCTACCAATTGTAGCTATATGCTGTTCAATTTGTAATTTTTTTCTGCAGAGATATCTTCCTTTTTCATATTATGTTCTATGTTTAAAGCACTTCTAATAGATGAAGGAATCTGATTGCCTTGACGCTTCTGCCATCACAGACGTTTTTCATTGCTGCACTACTCGCGATGCAATATCAAAGAGCACTGGTATGTTGTGAGCATAGAAATTTAATAAATGCCCCACTTTATTGCCTAGCTAATTGATTTTCGCTCTTTGCTCATCTCTAGATATTGCATCTCTATGATCTGATCCTTGACAGAGAAACTTGTATATATGTCACTCCAAAGTGCCTGCTATTCTATACCTACTAATAAAGAGGCAAAATTTCCGGCCATTGTTTTTCGTCCATCCATTTTTTTCGTCCACCTCCCCCCTAACTACCGGTAGTTGAGAGTTTCTTCCCTCTAGACTTATATGACCCTAGATAGTTAGGACAAATAGATCTCTCTGAGCCTCAATAAACTGAATTGGAATAGTAATACTAATCTGTCTATATACCTCTATACCTATACTTAATACTAAACAAGCAAAATTTCTACCTAAATCAAAACTTTGTCCAATCCAATTGCCGAGTGACACCCTGCTCAGTTTCCATGTCCGAGTAAATTTTGTTTCCGTCCTCTATCGGACCTTCTTTTTTCTAGACTCCAGTTTTTCTTTTTTATATAGTCTGACCATCTGTTTTCTTTTTTCTTCGACTCCCGCACGTCTTTCCCCTCAAAAAAAAACTCTCGCACATCTTTTTTCTTCAACTTGCACATCCACTTCCTTTTTGAATGGGTCTTTTTTCCTTTTCTAGAATATCTCCTTTTCTCTTATAAATCTCTCACTAGTAATCTATATCTGTATCTGTACCTAATACTAAAGAAGCAAAATTTCTTGCATAATTTTTGTTTTGTCCAACCTAATAATCATCCGGGGTTGGAGTTCCTTTTTATATAACTTATTTTGTATCATAATTAATTTAATGATACTTATTTTGTATCATAGATATTAGTACCTTTTATATAACTTTGGTCAAATTTCAAATCGTTTGAGTTCCTGAAAAGTGAGAATTGCATCCTTTTGTGGACGGAGGGATTATTAACTATATGATTTGGCTTATTTTCTTTTTCTGTAGAACAATATGTAGTTCTTCAGCAGATGTTTTCAGCATTTTGTATCTCTTGCGAATTTTATGAGCAGGTTTTACTTGGGTCAGTGGCTGCTCTCTCCCTGATGACTATCGTGAGTGTTATAATTGGACGGATTTTCCAGTCTGTGCCAGCACAGTTTCAAACAAGTTAGTATTAACTACTTTAGTAAATAATCAATTATGTTTGGAAAGAAATGCTCATGTCTTTTGTGGTAACTATATGTATTGTAATTGTAATGTACGATCTTTCATTGTTTCTGAAATTGTGTTTAGTTGTGGTAAGCTTATCTCATTATGCTAACAAGATAGTTGTGATACCATGGTGTTCCTTCAGCGCTACCAATAGGAGAGTATGCTGCAGTTGCTCTGCTGGCATTCTTTGGTTTCAAGTCAATAAGAGATGCATTAGCACTTCCTGATAACGCCAACGGGAACCTTCAGGGGAATTCGGAAAGTGGGGAACTGGCTGATGCCGAGGAGCTTGTCAAGGAAAAGGTTGTCCTTGTCCAGAAAGTGATTATGTTGAGAATTCTTTTCAAAAACTATAATTGTTTGCTTTTACATTATGTACCTGAAAGCTGGTGCAAGTTTGCACCATACCCATACTCCGATTTTGAGATTTTGTTGAATCGTGTTCCTCACAAATTGAAATACTTGAAAAAGTTCCCAGCCTTTTCTCTGGTCTTTACTGAAAGTCATTTACCATGTTACAGGTTTCTGAAAAGCTCACCAGTCCTCTTGAAGTCCTTTGGAAGTCCTTCAGTCTTGTTTTCTTTGCTGTAAGCTGTATCTCCTGCACTGAAATTATTTGCCAAGAACATTTGGGACCATGGTCCTTAGATATTGTCAAACAACCATCTTACTTCTTGCCAAATGTTCTGCACCTGTAGGAGTGGGGAGATCGCTCTATGCTTGCTACAATTGCTTTGGGTGCTGCTCAGGTCTGTTTGAGAGTTGTCTATACAAATATTCAATTTTAAATTATTTGGTTTAGCTGGTGTAAGCATTTACTAAGCTGTCTTATTTTTGTAGTCTCCTTTGGGTGTTGCTAGTGGAGCCATAGCTGGACACTTGATTGCAACAGCCCTTGCTATTCTTGGAGGAGCATTCCTGGCCAACTACTTGTCTGAGAAGCTGGTAAGAAAAAAATGTCCTTTGGTCATGGATGATCTTCTGTGTAACTGTTGGTAACTTGTCAACATTTATGTAAAATCTATGGTGCTCATAAACTCAAAACAACAAGTCAACAACAATAACAAAGCCTCTAGGCCCAAATAATTTAGGTTAATGCATTATAAGTTGTAGACTTACAAAAATACCAAATTAAAAATAAAAACTTGTAATGATTATGAGAAAAAAATCATTGCACAAATTCAATACAAACAATAGTTTTTAGTTTGTAATGTGTTTTTGTGTGTGGACATGGGTTATCTATGAAAGAACACGTAAAGACAAAATTTGTGTGTATGTGTGACCGTGATGCTCCAGATCTCCATACTGTTTACTTAAGCAGTGAAAAGAAGAGTTTGGATTTTAAAGCAGTTACTCAGGACCTGTTTTGTATCCTAAATAAAATTCCAGTGCTTCATTTAATTGCAAATACCTAAAACACAGTACAGACGCTTGCATGCACATCCTTGCCTCCTGTGAACGCCTCTGGAAGATTGGACTTCCAGCTTTGGAGTTTTGCACTAGAGTTTATAACTAAAGTGGTTTCAACATATGCGTTTAACCTAGAGTACGAAAAGATGGCCACACAAACACTTCTAGTCTAGAGTCTACCCCAGATCAGCTTCAAGAAATTTTAGAGCTAGGGATATCCAGCTCCAAGAATTCTCGGAGCTAGGGCTGTCTCACGCTAATGTTGCAAGGCACGCCGCTGCTTTTGATCGCTCGTTCTGGTATAATCATGAATGCTTTACCATATTGTTGTCACCTTGCTCTGCATACCCTTTTGATTTAGGACTCATGGAATTACATTATTTTTCAGGTTGGCTTGTTAGGAGGAGTACTATTTTTGCTCTTCGCGGCAGCGACGCTTTTTGGTGTATTCTAATCTATCTGAAGAATCTGTGGTTAGGGAAAGACTTCGCAGTTCGAGTGTGGTCTTAGATTTTGAAGATGAGGGGCAAACCCAAGTAGGCTTTGCACATGTTGTATGTAGATAGACGTTATCTTTTGGGTTCCATGAGATGATTTCGATGTGCCAAAAATTGTATCAGACAGACTGGAAACCTGCATCATATGGACAATTTACAGATGTTACCATTCAAATAATTTAGTTAGATTTGTTTAATGAGAAGTTACTTGCTAAGGATCTAGTGTTGACTTTTGTCAATCATGTGCTTATTGTTCATTCATGGGAGACAATGACAAAAGGAACTCCCAGGATGAATTGTGCTGAAAAACAACTCAGTTACCCAAAAAAAGGGGGAAATTACACAAATATATATAAAAAATTGCAAACTCATCACACTATAAAAGAGCGAGTTTTTTTGTTGGGGGCTATCCCTTTCTCATAACCGTTTGATTTTGACATCGTTTCATATGAGCCTTCCGTCATCCGAGATCTTACTCTCCCTCATTAATAACCGTTCTATCTAGATGCCGTGTCATATGAGCCTTCCGTCGTCCGAGATCTTACATTACCCCACGCCCCCCTCAACCCCATGGCTCGAGTCCCTCTCGGTCATGTACGCCTGCGCAACGGCAGCTCGACTCCCTCTCGGTCAGGTACATGCCCTAGCTGCGAAACGAAGGAACCATCGATGCCACAAGTTCGCCCGGGCCAGGTACTGCCATTGCCGTCGCCAGGTACTGCCATTGCCGTCGCCGCCGGTGAGGAGAGGCCGATGGAGAAAACCACCACCGTCTCAAGACTTCGCACGCTGCTGATGGTCATTGTCTAACCCTTGCCTAACCCTAGCCGGAAACTCGCCACATCATGGGAACGCCATGTCGTGTGGTCATCTTCTCCATGATATCCATCGATCTGTCTCCTCTAATAACTCTCATATGTCAACTCGCTCACCTACGTGTGTTCCCGTGATCTTTGCACGAGATTGTCGTCCGACTACCCTATGCATGTTGATCCGATCAACCTTGTCCGCTTGTCCATCCATGCACGCCCTACCCGTCACAGCTAGGAGCTTCGTCACGACAATTGCTAGCACTCAATGCCGACCATCCTTGTGGGTGTAGCAAGCCGGCCGAGCGGAACGTCGTCAGGACTCAATAGATGCAGGGCGCCCAAATCATCTTTGGTCAGCAGAGGTACGTACGTGAGTGGAGATCATGTGGAGAAACTACGTAACTTTCTATCCATTCATAAAGTCTTTCCGTACAAATACAGATTCTCCTAGTCCAGTCTTAGCATCTTTAATCCCAAGTTGTTTTCCTGATCTAGCTCTGACTCGATCCGTTCTTCCTATTGTGTACCTTTGCTAACGTGAGATACAAATTAGCAGCTACGCTGATTCGCTGAACATGCCACACATATTTCTGAATTTTACATTAAATAATAATTTGATTAATACGCATACAGCATGTGTTTTCAAATAAAAAGCAATATATGGTTACACTTCGATGTTTGTACATAAATATTGATATGATTAATTAATAATATAAATGCGTTTTAAAAATGTAATATATTCCCTGGTTTTCCAACTAAATTGGACCTTATTTACATTATAGACATGAAACTTTGTTTTTTCACACAGACTTCCCAAAAGAATTCAATCTAGAACTATGAGCTCAAGTATAAGAATTGATTTCTTAAAACTTCTTTGATACACCTTCACTATAAAAGATTTTTTTTTTATAAATACGTGCGGCACGCACGTGCATCTCTATCTTCAAAGAGATAATTCCTTATTTGACACTGGGAAAATGAGTCGTTCCTTTTTTGGCCCTGAAATTTTATTCGTTCCCTATTTGACACTCGCTTCAACTTTCATCCCTAATTTGACACTACCGTCAAATCCGTTAGCTAACGGTGTTAACTGGCTGTTAAAAAGACGTTTTTGCCCCTAGACGCATGTAAAGGCGCTGTTGCATGCATGCATTGCTGGCTGGTCTTTTTTTTGCAGCTGGGCACATGCATCAGAGGCGGGCGCGTGTTTTTTTTTCTCTCAAATTTGCTTCACTGGTTTTTTTCCAGGGGCAAAAACATCTTTTTAACAACCAGTTAACACCGTTAGCTAACGGATTTGACGGTAGTGTCAAATTAGGGATGAAAGTTGAAGTGAGTGTCAAATAGGGAACGAAGAAAATTTCAGGGCCAAGAAAAGAACGACTCATTTTCTCAGTGTCAAATAAAGAATTCTCATATTGAAACTTGCCAGTTATTGTACAAGGCAAGGAAAAGGAAAAGGAGAGTAAAGAAAATATATACAAGGCATCAATTCAAGGTAGGATCTAAATTTTGGGGATGGCAGAAGACGATAATACCAACAAGAGCTGTATGAGCACCAAAATACTATATTATCTATTATAACATGATTAGTTTAATTTGTTCTTATTTTTGCTGGTTATGAAATTTCTTAAATGCATCCTTGCTAACCTGGGCCTATTGTCTAGAACTCAAGAAAAATAATTGAATTGTCAAAGTTGAACTAAAACAGTCGTAATTAATTGAACAAAATGAAAATGTACCAAAATTAATTAGATAACTGCTCAATACTCTTCTTTCTGAAAATTACAAAGATGTCAAAGCAACCAATCTGTCATGTAGAGAGGGAACATATGAGCTCCATTATTGGAGACTTAGAAGCTATTTGGAGACGAGGAGATGAAAGTCAAACACAGATTTAGGGATAGAAATACGAAGGAGGATAGAAACACCGCCTAAAAAGCAGTTGCTAATTGGAGGAATAGGAAGAACATAATAGTAGGGCTAGAAGGCCCCTCCCAGTCCAGCTGGCTGTCGAGGCCACCGTTAAGCTGCATCGGCTCTGGCCTCATGTTATTCTACCACACTTCTGTCGATGTACATTTTAACATCCCGGTACGTTGCCTCGAATGGGCGCGTTGCCAATACCACTCACATCTAGATAGAGTCTATTTTACCTTTTGAACTATCACCAGTTTTCCTCGCAAGTTCGTTTTCCCGTCGTCACCGACCATGAACCTCTACAAGCTTCGCTGACAAGGATGCTCGAACATCTGCATGGGGGTTGATGAAGTTACTCAAGGGCTAGTGCCTGTCGAGACGGACCTCCAGCAATGACCCCAAGGTGCTTTAGGAATCAATACATCACAATCCCCGACAAGCGGGTGGCAGAAAACGTTAACATCAGGCAGCCATGGCGAAGATGGCCAGCGTCAGGGCCCGATAGCCAGTGAAGGGGCCATCGACCATAATCCACATCAAGCTTAATTTCACACATGCATACATATGATATCCAGCTTCTAACGCGACTGTTTGTAAATTGTTGGCAAAGTTTTTGGTAGGAGGCTATCTCTCGGTAAAGGTACTCTTTGCCCACTCTAAAACATGTCGACAAAGGTAGGTCATGTTATAGTGGCATTGTTTCGTTTTATTTTATGAGCTTCAGTTTGAAGTTTGCATCATGACGGGATCGAAGTTGACATTGCTAATAATAAAGTCGATCGATGTTTGATCTCTACTCTAGACAGACGAATAATATAATAACATAAATACCCAATATCAATGAAACAACTGGTAATACGAACACCTCACATCCGATGGAACAACTAATAACATGCAAACAACTAACCACCGAACGAACTGACAAATTAAACACTGCTCCCTCTCTTCTCCCCTTCGTCCAGGCGCCAGATCTGACACCCCTCCCACCCAAGCTTGGCTTCGCTGCCGCGCCGCGCCTCCCAGATCCCAATCCCCCCCATGCCTCCTCACCTCCGCTGACCACACTGCGGCCGCCGACCGCTGCGATGGCGTCGCGCCCGCCGCTCCGCACTACCTCCGTCGCCTCCGTCTCCTCCTCCACCGACTCCCCCACCTCCACCGGCCCCCCTGGCGGCGTCCCGCAGTCCATCACCGCGCTCCTCAACAACCCGCTCCCCTCCGCCGCCGCCGCCTCCTACTCCTGGCTTCCCTGGCCGCCCGCCACCATCACGCTACCCGATGCGGCGGCTCCGCCGCCGTCGCACCCCAGCGAGGTCACCCGCGCCGACTTCGCGCCCTACCTTGCCGCCGTCTCCGACCCCTTCGCGCGCTTTGCCGACATCCGCCTCCACGCCAACGCCGAGCTTGCCGCCTCCTCTGACGCCGAGGGCGCCCCCGCGGCCTCCTCTGGCCTCGCCGCCTGCCTCCGCGAGGTGCCCGCGCTCTTCTTCAAGGAGGACTTCGCGCTCGAAGACGGGCCCACCTTCCAGGCCGCCTGCCCGCTCGACGACGACGCGCTGCAGGAGCGCCTCGGACAGCACCTCGACGTCGTTGAGGCCCACCTTGTGCGGGAGATAGCACTCCGGTCTGAGTCCTTTTACGAGGCGCAGGGCGGGCTGCGCGGGCTTGATGGGGAGATCGTCACGGCGGTAGGGAGGATCCGCGAGCTCAGGGAGGTGGTCCGGGTTCTCACGGGGGACCTCGTCGGGGCAGCAAGGCAGGTGCAAGAGCTCAATGCTACCCGAGGCAACCTGGTGGCGCTGCAGCAGAAGCTCACTGTCATCCTCTATGTCAGCCAGGCGCTTACTGCGCTCAAGTTGGTGAGTGCATTTACCAGACAACTTTGTCTTTCCTTGCATCTTGCTTGTTGATCAGTCTAATGTAGTTGTCTGGAATACTTGTTGATCACTACGCCATATATTCTCATGGGCTATGGGCTATTACAAATGTGAAAATGTCAAATGTAGCCTGACATGGAACTACACTGTGGTATATTTTGGAACTTGTTATATGAGAAAAACCTAGAGATGAAATGTTTTTTTTGTTGATGGACCATTGCCACACCTCCCAACTGAAATGGAAAGAACATTTCCACTCTTTGCTTATCTGTGGGCATCAGCTGTTAATGCTTATTGAATGCCTATAATGGCTCTGTTCGGGGAGTTGATCTTGTGCATGTGCCTCAT